CTTTTCATCCTCAGTTTTCGGTATACAGGACAATGTTATGAAAACAGAAATTAGCAAGAGCCGAGCAGGACCGACGAACATTATTATTCAAATTTATTACAGACATGCGAATCTCAGCAAACATTTTTATTTTGTAAAAACTGTTTTGTCAGATAATAAGTAATTGACGTTGCCATTATGATATGTCAATAAGTCACAACTAATAGTATTATGATATTAAATTTGAATGTTTTTATAAACTTTTAAATTGTAAGCACTATTAAAGCTGTATTTTACAACTGGTGTGTTTAGAAAAAAATGTACTTTAATTTATTATTATATTTTGTACAGTTTACGTGGTGAGCACGCCCAAACGCTAAATAAATCAGTGAAGTAAAAAAGTGGGACATGTGTCATTACAGCATGATATCAGAGTCGTGATTTAGTGCTCACACCGGAAGTTGTTATAACGCTACAAGTAAAATAAATCTTAGAATAAACCGTAGCATGTGACACACCGACTACTGCTAATCCACCAGAGTTAAGATAAAGTGGCAAAATATATTTTCTACGAGACAACGCCACCGACCACATAATATAATAAAAATCTCATACAGCACCTGCTGGCAACTTCATCAAATGTCTGTAGTTCCATTTGTTCACAGCCTCCAAAGACTTCCTCACGTTCCCGTACTTTATTACATAATCTTTCTCCTCGTACAGGTACAGTTTGTTGATCACGAGAGTCATGTTAGAGTTCAGCGAGGGATCGTTGAAGATGGCACTGACCTATAATGTGTTACATAAAGATTCAATGAGTATCCATGAACCGACAACGTCGTACCAAAATAAACACTATCGCGCGTCCACTCTGCTCAGATATTTCATACTCACGATGTTCATTAACGCGAGAATGTAGTGCTTCACTCTCTCCTTGCCATGGAACTTGAGCATCGTATGGTCCGCCACGATGGCCATTTCGAGCCACAAACCCTTGACACCTGGAACATTAACCTCGATATTGTACTTGCTCGAAACTAATAAGCTTGGACAAACATGAATTTGTGGTTACTGTCACCGCACCTGAAACTGGCCTACTGATAGTTCTTGGTCCCCGGAAATAGTCAGTATCAGGAGGAACACTGTATCTTGCTCGAACATGTGGTTCTGGCACCGGGTCGGCCTCTTCTCCAAAGTCAAGTTCAAGGTCGGTGACCGTGTCACCAGTGAGATTATAAGCGGCCGCCCATTCCGACAACTCTACGTCACGTCTACGTAGAACATGTGCTGATCCCTCTTTCTTAGTCGGCTGCAATACGAACTCCTCGCTGCCGACCTGCAGCAGCCCATACAGCTGACCATCACAATCCGTCACTGTAGCGGACGACTCTTCTTCATTCAAAACTCTCCCTCTGTAGAACTTGCACTCATTGTAGTACGGTGATCGTATCTGCCTATTCTCCTGCAGCTCCAAGTGCCATCCGAGCAGCTGAAGGTGGCGGGTAGTGGTGTGTCCAACATGCCTGCGCACACGTGGGGTGAGCACAAGGGTCGGGGCCGGCGGGGCCCAGGCGCCGGCGCCGGCCGCCGCCGCGAGGAGCATGGCCGCCCACAGCCAGCGCGGCATCGTCCGCGCGCCGCCGCGAGCTCCGCCTCTCTGCCCGACGCCGCTCGACGCGCTGCGCTTACGCATCTACGCACATGGCGGGCGTCTCGTCGCGCGGAAGGTAAACGACTCCGCGACTTATAGATTGCATGTGCTTCATGCCTCATGCGTCATTTGTAAACAAAGGGCGAGCGCCTGTTTTTGTTTTATTATCGCCTAGTGTGTAACGTGTGGTTATGTCTGTGGATGTGTGTTCACGTGGAACTTCCGATTGTTTTCATTTCGGAATATTATGTTCTTTCCAGACCAGCGCAGCATACGATGTACCGTTTCCGTTCGCTGCGACAGTTATTGCAAACTTTGTATTAAATAATGATAACAACTGCGAGATAAATGTCAAGTGCATGAACTTTTGCAATACTAATTGAGTAGATAGTGCACTGTACAGACGAACAGTAATATTGTACAAATTATTTATTTGACGATAAGTTGCGTCACCGCTACATTGGACAGTACTTTTGTCAGTGCATGCAGTATCAAGCTAGCTCGTACCGCATTGCTTGTTGAAATATTCTGAATTGAACTGTTTTTCTTAAAGACTAGATAATACAATTGCATTTTGAGTGAATATGTGTTAAGAATTTCACAAAACCGTTGAATGCTATTGCATTGCGCTTTTGTGCTTTAGTGTGGATTCTAAAACCTAATTAAAGAGTGCCTTTCTTTAAATGTGCATTTTGATTTGATTTTTTTCTAATAAAAATTGCAAACTTGTTGTATGAAATTCTTTATCAAACTTTTTTCCAAGTTCAGATTTTTCTTTATTAATATAATAAAAGAAATAAAATATAATTTCTTTATTAATTAATACAATTTCTTTATTAGAAGATTTTCATACACTCTTTTATTTAAGTTTGATCAGTTTGGGATAACAACTTTAATCAACGATCTTCCTGAGTATATCGCATTTTTTTTGTCATATTGCATCTCGATCTTAATTATTATCCTTGTTAGGGACTATATTGTGATAAAATAAACTAACATTTTCAAAGATTTCGCGGGAATCTATGTACTAGCGAATACAAAACATTTTACAAGTCAAACTTTTAACTGCAGTCAGAGATTTTCAATGTTTACGTATCTCAAACTTAGAAAATGTGTTTAGATAATATTATTATGTATATTTAAACACGTCAGATTTATAAATGTAATATAACAATTGGATTGATCTTACAAAAATCAATCCAAAATACTCGGACACTAAAATAACTTAGAAATCATCAGTTGGCGTTACTTTCTTCTTCTTTTTCTTTCTTAATCCTACTAACATTATGAATGTGAACATTTCAGTGAATGTATGGTGCATCTATACCTACATTCTGTCAAAGTTTATTTGTTATTCCTTGACACAAAAACGGCTAGACCGATTTCGTTGAAACCTGTTATCAAGATATCCCAATACCCTGGTTTAAACGAAACCGTGGCGGGAAGCCAGTGTAAAAATATGTAATTGGAAAGTGTCGTTCTTAAAACAATCTCTTTTAAAATTTCAATTTTCGTAGGAATTCTTCAACTTCATGAATTGCCGATGAATATATTTGAGTCACGTGTCACGATGATGCATGTTGCATACTGAGCGAGTACACTGCATGCATTGGATTGCGCTGTAAATACACGTTCGCACAATTTGATTTGTTACTATAAAAGGTATGGAATTAAATAATTAGGTATCTATGTCTTATGAATCGACTGGGGCTATTAGTCATCTATTCTTATTAGCGTGATGTACTAATTACTTTATCTCTCTCTAGCTCATCGAGATCTGCTTAGGTTGCATATAAGTTAAGAGTCAAATGAGCCCTCCTTTTATCCATGTCTTTTTGGAACAGTCTAATATTCAGATTTTAAGATTTGAATTAAAAATATTCCGTGGCAAGCGCAATAAAGTACTGCAGCCTCGGCCAAGTAGGAACGGGGGTTTTAGTCAGTAAGAGTCTGAGACTCCCTCTCGCCTCACCCTGAGCCGTATCAGTAAAGTCAAATCTAGGTACTCAACTGAATATTTAATATTTATTCTATTTTAATTTAAAACTGTTTGTATAATATTTCTAACTTATATTGCTTAACTATCTTCCATCATCTGGCTCACATGACAGCCTCAACATTCCAATCCATTTCTCTTACGCCATTTATTTCAAATATAGACACGGAAACCTCCTAAACATCAGAAAAAGTTGTAGTTTTAAGAAACTTGTTTTAATTATAGATGATTAATGAATCTCACGATCCATCCACGTCCAAAAACAGTTATTTTTTCCTAATGAACTACCACTGTCATTTGTCAAAGTCAAAGTTATGACGGTTGGTCCCGAAGTGTGTAGATGGCGTTAGGTAGTGCACAACGGAGAAGCTAGTCGCGTTATTGACACAATGTAACATCTTTTCGCACGCGAATTATACAATGCATTGGTTATTTAAATAACTACGTGTGACCGTGTGTGTATAGGTACTTTACAACACAATTTGTTGCCATCAGACTCAATTGAAGGTCGTCTATTTTTTGTAGGCTATTTGTTTTTCGAAGACGTTTCGCTATTTGTCTTTTTTTATCATTTTGTGTTTTTTTCACCATTCGTTTGGTAAGCTATTGTTTTGACGATGTTTTATTTTAATGCAATTTCTACATTTACATCCTACATTTTTCTGTGTCATAGTTTAGGTGTGATCTGATTTTTATATTTTTAATGTTTGTTTTTAATTTTTTTATGTAAGTGATACACCATCAGGATTTTTTTACATTACCATCGTCATACATATAATTTAATCACCAAACTCTCAAATAAATTGACCTTCTTTATACTTTGTATCTAACTGTTGGCACTATTGAACAGTTGGCTGGGCTGACGTCACTGGGCGTGAACAAGCATATTTTCTCGAACACCCACCACTAATTGGTCATTGTTAAAATTTTCCGTACCTTCATAAACATGTGTAAGTAGGTACTTACATATTTACACATACAGTAATAATGACTTAATCCATAGTTATTGTGACATTAATACCTACATAAGGATTCTTAGAATTAAGTAGTTACGCTTCTTAAAAAAGTCAATGTTTGAGCATGACATGCCGCATGTTTCTATTCTCTTGGTCACCAAAGTTAAAATTTATTTCGCGAGGGGGTTTAATTCAAAAATATACAGGCATAATTGTAAAAGGCGTGAGTTTATTGTGACATAAACAAAGCTTCATTCAGCGAAACATGTATTGTATTAAGAAACAATATAAATAGTACACAAAGTATAAGTAATTCACAAAGCAGATCAATACATCCTGAATAAAATAAACGAATAAAAACTTATTTCTAAGAAACTTATTATACAAACATAATTTCATTTAATAATCTCGAATTACACGGGTCATTATAAATAAGAATTTTTAAATTAAAAAAAATAATAATTTAAAAATTTATACATTTATAGGGTGGCGAATATTCATATTATGTTGTATATTATGATCTCGAAGTACAGGCTTCACCAAATCTTCAGGCATATCCTTCTTACGAATGAGAAGGGTGTAGTTTGATAGAATGGGTCCATCAACACCGTCGTCCCCATTCTTGTAAGTAAACGTGATAACTGTCCCTTCATCATCAGGATTGCCTATCCCATGGAGGTAATAGTCTCTGAAGTTGTTCGATAAATACAATCCCATGTTCCCAACGCGGTATATACGATTCCTCTGGAAGCCATCCTTGTTAAATTCTGGGTAGTTCTTCAGTTCTTCTGCCAGTGAAGTGAAGTTTCCTATTGACAGGGATACACCTTTTAGATCAGGTTTGTGACCTCCAAATGCCTGGAAAAGAGACAGAAATACATTTAGACAAAGATACATAGATCGAATCTGTTATCTGTGTGTGAATCATCGATAGAATTCTGGAAAGTTATTGAAGAGATTGAATTTGATGTTCAAAGAAGACCATTTTTTTTTTTTTTTTTTTTTTTGTCAGGGGAAATCATATCCAATGACTTCTCCCGCCCAGGGTAAGGCGAGAGAGAGTGTCAGACTCTTACTGACTAAAAACCCCCCCGTTCCTTCTCCTGCTCTGGGCCGAGGTCGCGGTGCCTCATTGCGCTTACCCCGCAGCCCCGGCTAAACATCAGCCCTTTAGGGCCCCGACTGTGGTGGTCTATTGGCTCTTTGAGGCGCGCGCGGAACGCTACGCGCCGTACGCTCGGGTCCGGTTCTGGTCGGGCGGCGAGCTACCCTTACTCGCCGTCCGCAGACCCGCGCTTACGGTGGCCGGAGATCATCTCTCGATCCCCGACGTCCGGAATGTCGCCTTCTGCGGCGGCTGGGGCGCGAGGAGGATAGTTCCCTCACGCGCTCCGCCTCCTCCTTTGCGAGCATAACTGCTTCGCAGAAGGAGGAGATAGCTTCCCAGTTCCTCTCACGCTGCACCATGGCCTCGATTAAGGCCGGGCGCGAGAGGTCGCCGCCGCCGATCCCTTCCCTGAGAACACGGCGGTGCTCAGCCCAAGCAGGGCACTCCGCCACTGTATGCTCCACCGTGTCCTCCAGGTGATCCTCACAATGACGACACTCGGGCGTTTCCTCCCGCTGGATCCGAAACAGGAACCTACCAAAGCTGCTGTGCCCGGTAAGCACCTGCGTCAGGCGGAAGGTGAGGACGCCGTGGCGTCTCTCAAGCCACTCCTCAAAGAGGGGTCTTATCGCTGCTATAGTAGCGTGCCCGGCCCTCGGTTGCGACAGTCGCTGCTTCCACTCAGCCATGAGATCTCGCCGGAGCTCATTCCGCCACGCACTAATTTGGCGCGGCAGAGGATCCTCGCCCCGGCGACGCGCGTCTGCGCGCAAACTGTAGACGCGCGCGAGCGCCTTCGCTTCCAGATCCCATGGCGGTGATCCGGCAAGGAGGTTCGCCGCCTCCCCGGAGATCGTGCGATATCCGCGGATTATTCGGATAGCCATGACCCTCTGGGACGCGACCAGCGTACGAGCCGGCCGCCATGTTCAAAGAAGACCATGAGCTTGTCTCATGAGCCTCTCTCCCTTTAATACCTATTATATATAGAACCTATACAATATATACATATACATATACATATACATATACATATACATATACATATACATATACATATACATATACATATACATATACATATACATATACATATATATATATATATACATATACATATACATATACATATAGTAAACTAGATCATTATACTTGAGTTGTAAAAAATGATGTCACTGACTTCTTGTTATATAGTTAAAACACGATACGTTTTGAACAGATTTCTAACAGACATACACCGGCATAGAGGTGCGTAACATTCATAATTATGCAAAATATCTAAAGCAATTACCGACCTTTTAGGATTAGGTTTTGAAGAATTAGAGATTGGGGGAGGGGAAGAATTGGGCCTCCGGTAACCTCACTCACACGGCGAAATATAACGCTGTGGTTGTCTCACGCCGTTTTTCTATGAGGCCGTGGTATCAATCCGGTCGAGCCGACTCATTCGTGCTGAAGCATGGCTCTCCCACACTTAAAACTCTTACTGACTAAAGCACCCCATTCCTTCTTCAGCTTTGGGCGCTGATTACCCCGCCACCCCGTTTGAACATTAACCCTATTAGGCTCAATCTGTGAATATGGGTTCTCGCTAGCTGACCTATAAAGTTCTCGCTAGCCAACCTTCGAGTTATGCAGTGGTCAATGGTGGCAATATGGTCGGTGCAATAAAGTATTTATTCTTATCTATGGTCGGCCTGCTAGTTATTGATAAAAATATAGATGTTATTCAATTACAAGTCATCTGATTGCTATCATATAACACTAAAAGCCAATAATTACATGTTTATCAAGTTAAAACGATGACGACAGTGCCAAATGTCGCGTGAATAGAGTTTGAATCCGGTTCGCACATTGAGCTCCGTCTATTAATCAAACTGATGTATTACGCTCAGTAATTTCACGGCGCACTAAGCAGAAGGGACTGCTATTTTCTCAGTACACAATGACATGTAAATTAATCTGTATGTTACATATGCCAGTTGGTAAACGTATGTGATGTGTTATTTTAGCATCTGCGGTATCTGTCCTTTGTTTTTGTACCTATTTAACTAAAGCCTTTTGATTGATCAACCAAATGGGTTTGTATTAAAAAAAATCGTTTTTACGCAACCCTTTCTCGCCTAGTCTTATTTCATCCACGTAGTTATTGTAAGTGCTGATGACGGTCATCAATTAATTAGGAATCCGAAATACCCTTGTATTATCCTCAAAATGGCGCATTTTGAAAATTTCGACGAAACAAAACACATGTATGTAGATATACTTAATTAAGGTAAGATTCAGTCCTTATCTAACTTATTAAAGTCGCAGTGCTAATAGTAAATACCATAATTATTTATTTCAAATAAGACAGTGATTTGACCGCCAAATAATTAATTCAACCTAAAGTGTGTCGGTTTGTCCACTAGTAAAGCTGTTTTCTCGTTCTAATGTGTAGACTTCTTGGGAGAAGAAACTCCTTGGTTACTCTTTTACAATCGTATTCACAATCTTATACTTCGTTGTAAAGTTATTTTACTTATATGAGAATAATTTAACAGCAATATTGCATCAAACAAATATGAGAAGAAAATAAATCAACCAACTAACAATATATGTACCTATTGTACAAACTTATAAAACAAGTAAGTTCATTGACCTGCTAATTATCTGGAAGTATTCAAGAGTCACCTTTGAGATATTGTTTGTTTTATTATACATGTGTTCTATTTATAGGCGATTTAACATTAAATTATGACCCGGATTCAATATTTACCTTGGAACGTGTAGGTCAGAGTGTACGCTAAATACTTTGCCGGGCAAAGTCAGGGACAACGATGGTTGTAAAATGCTCACAGCCAGGGTCGGACCTAGGACGGTGCGAGTAAAGAGACAGTAAGTGTGGAGCCAAGCACGAAAGGGTCGGCTCGACCGGAGTGATACCACGGCCTCACAGAATACCGGCGTGAAACAACCACAGCGTTGTGTTTCACCGTGTGAGTGAAGTTACCGGGGGCCTAATCCCTCCCCTGATTATATAATCCCTTCCCGATCCTTAAATCCGAAACACCGCTCCCCAAAAGGCCGGCAACGCACTCGTAACTCCTTTGGTGTTGCGCCGATTGCCATTTACCATCAGGTAATCCGTCTGCTCGTTTGCCGACTTATACAATAAAAAAAAAGAGACTAAGCTCTCTACTAAGAACTGGTTGACTTCTAGCACCACCTAGCAATGTCCAAAAAGACCTTATCTGATCACAGTATGAATCAAAAATCTAAACTAAAAGATAATACATCAGTATTATCTTTTAGTTTAGATTTTGGTTGTGTATCAACACAACCAAAATCTCCAATTGCCTTGAGCAAGCGTGTTGATTATATCATATACTTTCTGCGAATGACAATACTAGAAGAGACCTTAGCTCGACACATACTACACATTCAATTTTGAATTTTGGATGAAAGCGTGATCGATGCAAATATTCCAATTTCACCAGTGCTGACTGCTGCCATTCGCAAGACCATGGCGGATATACTTAACAGTATTCCATTTATTAGGTAATATTTGGGGAGAATCAATTATTTAATGTAAATTACATAAATATTGTGACAAATATATCTTATCTTTAAGCTTATTATTATGTTTTACACTATTCTTTTAACACACGAAAATCTTATTTTTGGTCAGTAGCCTTGACATAGAGTTCAAGATTTAATAAGAAAAACTTGTTTCTGTTTTATATCTTTCGTCAGGTAAATACTATATCCACTATCATATACATATTATACTATAGGTGATTCATTATCATTGAGTATCTGTATGCAAATTGTTATTTTATTATACTACACTTTCGAAACAAAGGTTAAGATAATAAAGATTCAATTTCATTCTAAAATTACATTCTGAATCTAACCTCTCGCCTTTTCCTATTTTTTTGCTCATAAAGTTCAATTTTCTTTGTTCAATTGAATTGCACTTATTAAAATGGTAACGGTACAGTTTTTGGTTTTCCTTTTCATAATTCTGATAATTTATAAATAAATTAAAAACGAAGCTGTTCTAATTTGTTTATAATATGACTTAAACTTAGAACTGAATTTAGATGACCCGCGAACCCATTGAAGAACTCAGTACACATGTTTGTGAGAAAAAATGCATTTTCAATATGCATAAACGTCATAAACCTAATAATTTATAAGAATACTTAAATAAATCACTTACTTGTAGATTGGTTAACGCCACAATATACCCAACAATATTCATGTTGATCCAACAATTAAATCGAAAGCTCATACAAAAAAACAAATTACGAAGAAATGTATCCACATTCACTGCGTCCACACCAATACGTTTCACCAAGCCACTACTCCACTATATATAATTTGTAATGACACAAACTTGACGAATTTTCCATCCTTCTTATTAATACGTAAGAAATACGTTGTTCGAATGTTAATAAGACTTGGACAATATGTTACAATTTACATAAGAATAATGAATATGGTTTTCAAGTAATTATTTACCTAGCTATATGTAATACGTCTGTCGTTTACACCGTATGCCCCATATCAACGTGTTATTTTTACATTTTAAAGTACACGTTGTCAAACTTCTTGCTTATTGTTTGCACGATTTCTATGTAACAAAGGATTTTTCCAGAATTCGCACATCGCAAATAAGTTTTTCAAAGGGTTGCCACATCGCTGGTTAATGGTGGCCCGAGGTTAAGGTGCTTCTCATGCGTGAGGGTTCAAAATCTGGCAAGTACCAATGTGACTTTTCCGGGTTATGTGTACTTTCTATTTCTATTTCCATTGACATACGGTGAACAAAAACATCGTAAGGAAACCCTGACCTATATTTGAAATCGCCATTTCTATTTATGTATTTGAAATCGTCAATCCGCTTTGAGCAAGCATTGTGATTAACGCTCAAACCTTCCCCTTATGAGAAGAGGCCTTGGCTCAGTGGGGACTTGAAGGCTGCTAATGTTTTGATGTGATGACTACATCATAGAAAATGTTGTAGATCTTTATTTAATGAAGTCCTTGATCACAATTGATTGACGCTTTGATGCACTTTGATTATTGATGTCTATTATTTGGCCCAGTTAAATTATGCGTTCGTTGACATAGTTTATTATAAGTACTTTTATGTAAGCTAAAACGACGGTAGGACTTAATATGATAGTTATAAAATCATCATTATAAACGAATTAATCTATTATTTTCTTTAAAAGTATTTTTTACATAATATAGGGCGATAAGCAGACTAATGGCGAACTAAATGACATCCACAACATCAGAGGAGTCAAAAGTGAATAGACGGCCTTTTATGAACGAGTAGGTACGCTCTTTTCTAGGTGGTCTAAATGTCGTTATAATTCAACCAACAATCACAGAATTGCAGGACTGGGCTACTACCTATAGTTGACGAATTTCTCTTTCATTAAGTAATCATGCATTATATTGGATCCGTTCGCCGCGTCACCCGAATTCATTTTGACTTTTTAAAACATGTTTTTCTTTTATTTTATTTTGCCTTATTGTTTAACTTTTTAATTAATTGACGTCCTTTATTTAGCCGTATCTCGTTCGTTTTTTAATTATTAAATATTAATTTTATATTACATAAAAATAAATAGAAAATTTATTCTAAATTCAGCGTCTCAAGCAAAAGCTAGTAGATAACAAACATCCGACTTTATGACGGACCTACATAAATCATTCTTTCTGAATAAACTAAAATAAACATTTTATCAAATTCATAAAGCTTCCTTTTGCATAAAGATAAACTTGAACACACTCAATATCTACCTTACGGCCCTACTTAAAACAAAAACAACTTAAAGTCTTGGGCCGGCTGAATAACAAATGTTTGACGATCATTAGACCTGTCACACGTTAGCTGAGACGTCACCAAAGTGTCTGTCAAGCTCATGTTTATGTCAGATTACACGTGAATTGTTTGAAGACGGGAACGTTAGTAGCAGTGTTGGGGCGAGCCTCACTGAGTAATGGTTCACGCTGCATGCTATAGACGGTTTGAATGTTCTTTCTACAACTTTTTTTGTATTCTTTGTTTATATTCCCATCCTGACCTTATAATAGAGTATTGCGTGTTAGTTCTGATTTTAAAATTCTAATGGAGTAGGCGTTATTTATTTTTTAAGATTTAATGTAGGTATGCAAAATGAAAATAAGTCTGTAAGTACGTAAGACATTAATTACTGCCACATGGCATTCTCTACCTAAAGGTACTCCTTTGTGTTAAGAAGAGGAACCACCCAAAAATAGATACCGTTTGTCTTAGGTAGGTTGTAGGCCTCTTTTATAAAATACTTTATTAGAGATGTAATAAAACATGTTCGTATCATCTCGTCTCGTAAGTATGTTGTTATTTGATTAATTTCATTGTAACTGTGTCTATTGTTACAGATCGAACCACATATAACTTTACCAAACACAACAACCACATTCTAGTCGGTTCAGTATCTTTTTTTTTTGTTATTTTTTTGTGAGGGTAAAATCATCAAATGGCTTCTTCCGCCCAGGGTCGGGCGGGAGGGAGTGTCAGACTCTTACTGACTAAAAACCCCCCTGTTCCTACTCCGGCATAGGCCGAGGTTGCGGTGCCTCATTGCGCTTACTCCGCAGCCCCGGCTGAACATCAGCCCTATGGGGCCCCGTCTGTGGTGATCTATTGGCTCTTTGAAGCGCGCGGAACGCTACGCACCGTACGCTCGGGTATGGTTCTGGTCGGGCGGCGAGCTACACTTACTCGTCGTCCGCAGACCCGTGCTTACGGTGGCCGGAGAGATCATCTCTCGATCCCCGACGCCAGTCGGTTCAGTATCGAAAATATTTATTACACTCTTACAAACTAAAATTGCAAAGCTAAAATAAACTATTTAAAATAATAATGTACCTTATAATTGATAGCAACCCAGCTAAGTAAGTAAGTAAGTATAAAGCAACAAGTGAATGTTCGGCTCCAAAAATAATTGAAACACTATTTCGAATTTTAAATACAGTTGTACCAACTGAACAAACAGAACTATACGCTACATCATCATACTTGTACTTAAATTCACTTAAACACAGTAAACAGACAGAAAGCTTGTCTAAGTGCCTACATTCAGTGCTTAAATAAAACTTAAGTGTCAAGACCTATAGTGTCAAAGTTTGCTAGATCTTATGAACTTGGTCCTAGAATGTTTTGACCCTCGTAATAATTTATAGGGATCTTAGGAAAGGGTGTTGGGTACTACGGGTCGTCTGTATGTAATGGTCCTGACCTGTTTGGCGAAATATGAGATTTTTGTTCTTAATAGTTGGTCGATAGCAGGGATTGACGTTCTTGTCTTTTATTTGTTTTTTTTTCGATTGGTAATTGTAATGTTTTAAAAAATACATTGCCACTACACCTTTGGAAAAAGACTGTATACGTTCTCATTTTGCACTAGGCAACAGTTTTTAATTAAAGTGGTAGCGATGCTTGTTTGTCTACATAACATGTGAATATTATATTACTTATTTAAAATCTTAAATTAAAATGACACAATTAAATCAGCCTAGGTAACAACCAAATGATAAAAAACTAAAAATAAACGATGCGAAGGCAGGCAGTTCAGTTCAGGTAATACATTCAGTCAACGCAGACAGTTACCGGTAACCAATTTTCCGGTACGGTACCGTCAGAACATTTTATATGGTTCCGACGAAATTGGGAAAAATCGTGTTTCCAAGACTTTCCGAGATAATTTTATCCCCTTTAGGAAGACGAGACGAGTCCCCTTTACAAAGGGTTTGGCTCGAGGAGATTATAATAGGTGCTTCGTCCACATCGATATTGAATGGTATATATTCTTACACACCCGTCTTATAAGCCAATATTAGGACCTTATTTATACTACAGACGTTATTTAAAAATAAGTAGAAGATAAGTGGTTTCTTCATTGGCTTAATTGTGGTATGATGTACTGAGCTGTGGTCCAATTGAAATCCCTGCAGGCGTAAATTGTACCAAAATATACGATTGTTTTTTTATTTGAAACATTGAAGAGATAGATAGAGGTATACTAAATTCGTCCACTTCTAACCAGTAATATTATAAAGTCTATGTCGATAAGTACTCAAGTGGGTACTAATAGGGCGTAATTAGGTAATTACGAAGAGGGAGTGTTGTACTATGAATGTATATATATGTATATAATTCAGATAAATTCATAATAACGGTGATAATTATTAACAAAATAATGAAAGAAGACATTTAAAATATGTTGGCAAAACAACGAAAATAAGGTTTTCCCCTGCCGTCCAAAACCTTTGTTCGACTTTTAGATTGTTAAAAGTTTACGTAAACTTTTCGTTAACAATGTAGGTACCCATCCGTTTTCCGATAAGGTATTTGAAAGTTACGATAACAATACAAACGGTGGAAATCGTTTTAAGAGTATTTATCTATTATAAGAAGTGATTTGCTTTAAGTAGATGTTTACACATATCGTTTTGTACCACAATTTTTTTTGGTCTTGACTTTGATTTCTCTCGCCAGCTTAGGGTCAGGCGATTCAAACCCCCCCCCCCCTGTTCTTTCTCCTGCTTCGTACTATATCCGCGACTTTATTGCGCTTGCCCAACAACCTCGGCTGAACATCGGCCCAGTTAGGCCGCCAGTGTTGATCTAATTCTACTACGCGCCCTACACCCGGGTCTGGTTCTGTTCGGGCGGCGAGCTACTGATACTCTCCGTCCGCAGACCTGCGCTTACGATGGTTGACGTTGAACATCAAAATTCTGACATGACATAAAATACAGACGTGGATGATAAGGAGGACAATTAAAAAAAAAAAATTCATTAAGTTTGTGAGTGGATTTTGTATAAAGGACAAACTATCAGTTTGGGGAATCCTGTAATAGCAGATCTAGGTAAGATTTTACAAAACAAATATAAGCATCTTTTTTTAATACCTAAGGTAACTAATACTGTTTCATGGATAAATACCTAAAAAGAAAGGTACAATTTTTACATTCACCAAACCATTAGCAGTGATAACAGGTACCATCACGAATGTCTATGAAATATCTCATATTTATAAATAATGCAGGCGTCGTGAGTCGCCGATCACAGGGCTAAGTGGTGAGCTTGAATATTTTATCGCGCCAAGGGGAGCTGGCGACGGTCACTGCCATTTTCCCTTATGGAATAATTAATCGCAAATAGAGCGAACTACGAAGTTTGTTTATTACTAAGTGAAGTCGGGCTTGTTGCTTAACTTGTAATTGAAAGGCTGTGGACATGGACAACTTTGTTTCGTCACGTACGCAGCCAAGAGGGGATTCTTCTGAAAAATCTGCTGTTGTGGTTATGGTTGAACTGGTGTTGTGTTTGGTTGGTTGGTTGATGTTGTGGTTTCGGTTGAACTGGCTTCTTTATTTCACAACTTTGGGATCAATTTGTTATCGGTTACTACACACAAGTACAACTGCCTCCACTCACCAAATAATCACCTCTTCATACTCTTAAACACAATAGGCTACTGTAATCCTATTATCTTCGTCAAATATTTCTCCCAAATACTGCCTAGTGATAATCGCTGTTATCATATAAGTTCAACGCACTCTACGCCAGTAGACAGTTAGTCACCCAAATTATTGAGACAGAAATACAGTTATACATTGACTGAAGATACATCCAAATTTAGTATCTAATGACCTAAGTTTTGTTTTCGGTAGTAGGTGTTTTAATATATTGTTTCATACTAGCAGAAAAAAGGCAAAGAATGAAAATTGCGTCATGTTTTGCCATGTGAGTGAGGTTACCGGAGGCCCGATCCTTCTCCTAAATCCCTAAATCTTCTAATCACTATACCCCAAAAGGTCGACAACGCACTCGTTACTCCTATTGCGAGTGTCCATGGGCGGCGCTGATTGCTTACCATCAGGTAATCCGTCTGCTCGTTTGTCGACTCATCACATATGTATAAAAAAGTTATAAGTTACGTAATTTTCATTTGTTTCGTTTCTAAAGCGACATCGATTATCGATACTGAAGTTGGCTAGATTTGGTTAGAACACATGATGTTTTCTCAAGTAAATAAATGCTTACTTTGCCTACTTGTACGAAAGTATCCTCAAAGCCTAGTGACTTCTGCCGGTGCCTTGTGTGAACACCTCCTATTGTTATGCAAAACGAGTACAATAGCTCACAACAAAATACTAGTACACGAACAGAATTATTATTGCTATTATATTTGAAGACCTTTGTTAAGCCGACAGCTTTATCTATAAAAAACAAATTTGCATGGCAAGGCTTGAAGTGGCAAGCTATTTGAGTATCATCATTAATTATGGATAGCACGTTAACTATACTGTAATATTTTAATTTTATTTTTAGCACTCGATTTGAATTTGCTCGAAAATCCGCGGAAAGAATATTCTAGAAGTACCGGTATCCTTCGCTTGTTTCAAATCACTGTCACCTCTTTTTATCCTCAACTGTATATAAACATAACTACATGTATAAGAAGCCTAGGGTCTCAACCAGATACCTAATATTCATCCATTCAGAGCTAGTAGAGTTATAGGAACAATTTATGCATGTCCGTCTCAACCTTAGTTTGGACCGAGTTTTAGTTTTATAAAATGCCTATACTGTACTTCTTTATATGTATAAATAAAAAACTGATTACTATTATTTGCCAAGTGTTCACAGCTGAACATGGAATCTGATTGGCTGAATGAAAGTGGTTCCAGCAATCACGAGTTCGGCCGGTTGGAAACAACCTGCATCCAGCGATGTACTGTGACCTTTATTAAAAAATAACAACGCAATACTGAATGTCTGCTAAACGCTCAAAAGCAGCCAACGCACATAAGACTTCTCTGGTGCGGTGGGTGTCTACTGATGACACTGATCGCTTACCATCAAGTGATCAGTCTTCTCGTTGGCCTCATTTATTCTATGATAGAATAAATAATACTTTGGGATATTGCTACCACAAGTGTAAAGTTCCACAGAAAATAATAAATAACTTTATTATTATTAACACTGAGCAAATTGTACTCAAAGCCGGAAAATTCTGGGGGTAGGTGCGCCTGTTTGTTTTTCATTACGTTTTTAATATATTCTCGAGTTTGTAGAGAGTTTGTATTGAGGTCAGAGCTTCGGAAGTAAGTTATAACAATCATTGTTGTTTCTATTCATCATTTTAAAATTATACAATTGGTTTCTGTTTTCATGTAAATATGTTAAGTGTTTATTTCTTCGTTTAGCGGTTGATGCTTTTTTGGAAAATGATAATGATGAATGAAAATCATTTAAGTATTATTTTACTACATGCTTACAAGAATAAAAAAATACACTTTTTAGTTGTTATTAATTCTATACTACTAGTGCCTTGCCTACTACTAAAATTAAATTACATGTGTCTAAAAATCTATTTCAATATTTTTTTTTGCTAAAAATATTCTTAAACATTATCACTCGTGACTCATCGTTAGAAGAATATTCAGCGCACTATATGAAGCCTTCACCAACTGAAATAGAAATATTTGTATTAATAAAGACCATAATATCAAAAGACTGGCTTAAAGTGGACCGAAATAACCCAAACACAAGGAAATTTCGTAAATAAATTGAAGATTATGGCAGAAAAAATCAGGACCAACATTGTATTACTTGTTTCTCTGAGCACCAAAAAACCCTCTTTCTTTTATTTATACAGACAATACATTAATGTAATATAACATAACCAGCGCATTTAAATCACAGTAAATCATTTCAAAAACAAGAGGTCTTCTACATATGAACTTTTACTTCTACGTCAAGTAGAATCTAATTATTAATATATAATAATTCTTTTAATAAATTCAGCCAGGGTTACGGGACAAGGGGCACAACGCCCCGCTGCTTTTGCCTGGACTCCTGAAGCAGGAGAAGGAACGGGGTAGTTTAAGTAGTAATGTCTGACAATTGCTCGTACCTCACCCTGGGCCGAGAGAAGTCATTTGATGACCCACTCAGAAATCAGTAAATAAATATACATTAAATCTTACTCACAGAAGTATAAGAAGATAGAGACAGTGAGTACATGCCTCCAGCTACAAATACCAGCGGTTTGTTGGCTCGAGCAATCACAAGGATGATCGAAGCGCGTGCGCCGGGTGCCAGCGATATTCCACTCTCCCAACCTGAGAAATATGCTGCCTGGCCTATGCGCTGGCTCTGAAAGAATATTGGCATATTCTTTCAGAGCCAGCGCATAGGCCAGGCCAGTCGGCAGTCGTGATCATCATAATCAAGAAAGGAATTTACTTTGAACTATAATTACAGAACCGCAACGGTCTTTTATTCGAGTCAGTACGAGTAGTATTTTGAAATAAGAAATCGATTACCACACTAACGGTTTTGTTTGATTTATAAATAAGTAGCTTTTGCTCGCGACTCCGTTCGCGTGGAATAGTGACTTCCTGCAGATTTTTGGTATAAAAACTGTCCTATGTCCTTTCTCGAGTCCCAAATTATGTCTATGCCAAATTTCATAGAAATCAGTTCAGTAGTTTAGGCGTGAAGAAAAGACAGACAGACAAACAGAATGACTTTCGCATTTATAATATTAGTTTGGATTAAATAAAAATTCACGCGGCTAAAAACCGTTGTGGTTCCGCCCAACAGGAGCTGGAGTCTTAAACTTAAAAGTCAAGGTTCAAAAAACATATATAATAGGTACCTATAATACAAAGACAGTACAATAATATAGGTTCTACCTATTAAACATCAGTAGAGAGCAATTTACATCCGCCATATAAGTTGGCACCCACGTGAAACAAGACACGTCCCTCTAATTGGGAAGTTTCAGGGAAAACTTCGAAGGACTACCATTACCGTACTGAAAGCTCTTCATTTTAATGCAATATTTCACGGAAGTGGGTACATACTTGGCTATTGTACTAAGTAAACTATGTTATGTTTTTTAGTAATACAAACGCAGAGAAAACAATCACAGAAATAAAGTAACTTAATTCGTTCCTGAAGTATAGTTTAGAAATTGAATCGCCACTTTAGAATTTTTTCTGAGGTCAGCGACACATTGCGTCGCAATTTGGTACATAGCCACTACTTCAGCTGTGCAGTCCAGTCAGTTTGGGATCTCATCGTCTTTTAAATAGGGCTCATAACATATGTGTGTGATGAAAAATTTGTTCAACATTTAATAGGATGTGGACCTCTGCCTACCCTGGATTAGCGCTAGATGTAAAGCATAACATAAGTAGTATGATTAATATCGTACTCACGATCTTTAACTTAATTGATTACCTACTGAAACTATTCCTTAGCAACAATTTTGTTTGTACACCAATTGCTAAGGACTTTATAACGACTCCGAGGATTGAGCCCGTATTTTTTATAAATTTCTTTAAGAACTATAGATAGCATTATAATTACTAATAAATTCAGAGCTAAAACTATGGTCACTAAACACGGTCACTAAAGTAATTTCACTGACAATATGACACAAAAGTTTATTAGTACGAATGGGATTCTTTTTTTACGTTTTTACGTCAAATTACTGAATGGATTTCGATGAAAATTGGCACAGAGATCAAAGTCTGTGGTGTACATGGGCTTCTTTTCATCCAGATAACATCTACGAAAAGAATGGCTACAGCATTGCTATAATAAAAAAAATCGGGTACCTTAATAGTAATTTCCTCACACCATCGGCACATGAGGTACCAGGTAAACATGTTGTAGCCCAAATAGAGAAGACTCATGACAAATTTTCCCAAATTCTCCGCAATAGTCTGAAAGATAAAACCGCAATAAATTAGGAACGTGATAGTTGAATAAGCTTTTCTGAGTAGTCTTTCAATTTATAACTATTTAAAAAGCAATTGAGGTATTGTTTGGTTTAGAAAAACTATCTTTGTTTTGTACAAGAGCATGATAAATAGAGGTACTTATCATGATTTTTTTTAATACAGTTGCCTTACGTTAAGATTTTTGTCATGTATCGTGGATGCGTTTACAAACATACAAATTCACATACACAAGTCACCCAGACCAGAAAAAACATTTGTGAAACACACAAAGTGTAGTTCCGTGCAGAAATCGAACCCACGAGACGTTGCATTACTGCCAGTTGCCCAGCCACTGGACCAACCGTTTTCTTTCTTTCTTTCTAAACAAAAAGTACAAAATTCATGCTTGCTTCTTGCATCTGCCATTGGTATTCTTCTCTGAATCACTCAAAGGTCAGACTGGTAGAGAATGCTCAAAACATTAAGTCTACCTTGTGTACAGTTTCTTGTGCATGAAGCTTATATATGTTATGTTATTCTGCTCATTTGAATTTTATTTATATAAATTTTATTTATTTATTATATAATAAATTATATGATATTATATTAATAAATAAAATTCAAATGAGCAGAATCGTATACATCATATCATTGAAAACTAATCTCCACATATATATTTATGGAGTATATTTATTTATGAAGAAACGTTTGTTCTATACTCCAATTCACAGAATCCGATCCTAACATTATGAATTACACACATTTCCTAGGATTACACATACACATACATTTATGCATTCATTAAAGAGGCAAAGGTTTCACAAAACCGTGTCACTTGTGATCGTACCGTCCAATTTGACGGATCTAATTGACACGACCCTTCACATATACATATTATGTATTTCGCTTCCACGTATGTACGTCTCTCTATGTCGGGTCGTTCCTTTCAATGTAACTCCATAACCAATCCTAAATCCCTAGCGGTGCCGGTGCTTCAACTTCCGATTAATCCCTTCCAATAATAACTTTTGTGTAGACTTGCGACTTTTCGTGGCGATTATCGCAATTAAGACTGATACTGTGTTTGAGGGACTCGTTTTCAACAATTGCCTCTTATATTGCGTTTTTTTATGATTATTTTTCATTTCGTGTTTCAGTAATGTATTACCTAAATGATTGTCATTTTTTATTTTCGATCCACCATTAAATTTAATTTTAGATATGAGGGTACATGTTTCGTAGTTTTGGAGATTTATTTCAAATAAAGAAGCTTGAATTCCAGAATTATAATATATATTTTTTTAAACCAAATACTAATCTAGAGGCATAGTAAGAAAGTAATAACTATAGTATTTTTTCTCTATTTAACTTAACCTGTAAAGTTCAGCAAAAATTATTTGACTTAAAACAATATTAAATTTAATGAAACACGAGTTTTTACCACACAAGTAGCAAGTCTGCTTGAGTTCCTTAGTCGACCGCTAGCAGATTAATACTCGTAGCTTATAAACCGTATGAATTTAACCACACTTTCACGGAAGGCTTTCGCGTACTTTTTAACATTATGTGGAGTATAGTTTCAGCGCAATTAAGGTAAGGCATTAGTTCTATAACGAAATTTTAATTTTTGGACTTTAACACGTAGGTCGGCTCGACCGGAGTGTTACCACGGACTCAAAGAAAACTGGCATGAAACAACCACAGCGTTAGTTTTCGCCGTGTGAGTAATTGCTCACCATTCAGGTAATACGTCTGCTCACATAAAAAATGTTTATCCTTTTAAACTACAATTTTCAAGCAGCATAATAAACTCGGAGATTATACAATAGTTAACAAAACTATTGGGCTTCTTATGGCATCGCTTGAATAATGTTTATGTTTTTTTTGTTAGAGTATAATCATCAAATTAATTATCCCGCCCAGGGAGGGACCAGAGGAAGTGTCAGGCTCGTACTGACTAAAAAACCCCGCGGTGCTTCATTACACTAACCATTAGCTTCGGCTTGAATAATATTTGTGATGGCGAATAAATATATTCCATAAACATACTATAATAATTGTAAGTACTTACAGCCGTAGCTTGATACCCTACGAAGCAGATGAGCAGACCACTGCAAGCCAACTGTCCCAGCAACGGAGCGCTTAGTATTGTCCTCAGATCATTCGTTTGACTACAAAATGTAAAAAGTCAAAATAAAAAAGGCTACACTTCACAGAACACAGAAACAATCACAGCGTCGCGATGTGAGTGAGGTTACCGGACGCCCAACCCTTCCCTCCCTAATCCCTAAGTCTTTAACAAGGCCGGCAACGCCTTTGTACCCCTTTTGGTGTTGCGGATGTATATGGGTGGCGACGATTGCTTACCACTTAGACCTATCACATAAAAAGAAAAAAGAAGATTTACTCAATGATAATGTCTTGTGGGAATAATATTTGTAGACGAGCTGAGAGCTTGTAGTCACAAGATAGACTTCAATTAAGTGTACCTAGAAAATTTGAAATAATTAGAACCCCATTTCAAAATTCGCGTTACGTAACGCACTGAACTTATAAAGCACATTCATAGAATTTTGTGTATAAAATATTCAATAATTTGTGAAATGATTCTTAACGCAAGAGAACGTACAATTAACTGATTAAATATGTAACTTTATGTTCAAATGTAAATTGTGACGTATCTTTACTAGAATAAGGTTATTTATTATTTAACTCGAGACTTACTCCAAAATCTCTCGATGTTGTGTCACTAGATCGCCAAGTCTCTTTACGTATTTATCAACGAAAGACGCATCTTTTACAAGCTCGTGTTTGTTCAAATCTGAAAATTGAGTTAGATATAAATAGTCATAATATTATACCAGATACTACATTAGCTAGTTCTAAATTATTTATCTAACCAACTACAGAAACCGGCTTGATAATGAAGGAAAGAATTAGATATATATTATTAATAATTATATATGTATAAGCCCCGTCCTGACTTGAAACCAGAAGAGCTTTCCTCACTTAATTAACATGAGTAAGTAGTTATTTTCAATAAACAAAGAATTTAATTATAAAACTGATTGAAAAGAAGAAACCATTTTATCTATTCCTTACCTTCTTTATCTACTATGAACGAGTAAATATCATAACGATACAATATTTTTAAGTTATAGCAGGAAAAACCTATAACTTAAAAAAATTTATCATTCAAATGTGACTTTGACTCAAACAATAAAGAAACCAGTAGCCAAAACTGATTTATACAGGGTGTAAGGGACAGCCCTCCACAAATTAACAGGGTGCATTCAGCTCCTTATTCTGAATCATATTCCAGTGAAAATTCTTTCAGGAAAATTTTCAATTTTTTTTTCGTTTTTTCATTTCCTACACCTCTATTTCAATGTATAATTACATTCTATGTATGAAGAATAACATTAATGTAAATAACACAGCTAAAACACAAAAATACGCAATGGTTGTGTGAATTCTCTAAAGAACTACGCATGAAATCAGCTGTTCAATTTCTACCTAGCGCGAGTCGTTTGAACTCACCGCACCGCGGTCACGGCGCATCGGCTCGGCGCCCCACCGCGCCGATCGCCGCGCCGCGCGCCGTAGGTATAATACCTACGATCCCGTCCAACGTACAGAATAGCTGCGTCCCTTTCTGTCGCCCCGCCTCCGCGTCTCCCCGTCTCCCCGATTCTTTGCACAATGTTTGCCCGATTGAACCAGTGTTGCCAATTTTTAACTTTTGTTACCTCAGGTAGTAAACGAAAATGTTAGAACTAGCGAAATTTATCTAAAACTTGAGAACTCCTTTGCATTCATAATTACGTTGATGAGATTTTCATTAATCAATTAATGAAAATCTTGTCGCGCACATAAATTGAATAAGAAATAAATAAAGATTAGTCTAGTTTTAATTTTAAAGCATTTACAAATACTACCTAATGTATTAATTGATTGTTCTTTTTAAGCGATTACTGGCTAGTTTTTAAACTACTTACAGATTCTTACATGGCTTCACAATAGCCATGAATTGATAGTCGAGCCAGAAATTAAACACAATCTCCCTGGAATGGAAGCACAGCTTTCTATCACACTGCACTTTTATTATTCTAAATTAACTAAACAATGAAATTATAATTAAATTGATTTAATCAATTCATTTCTCTACAAAAAATAACAGAATGATAAATTACGACCATGCATAATTTTTTATTTTTTACCCCGAAATTTTGTAATTTTCGTGTAATTGGCAACAACAGATTTATGTCTGTGTGTACAAATACAAAAATACAAAATACAAAATCTTTATTTTTCTTTAACAAAACTTCTTCTTATAATTAGTTGCTGGAGTCTCCTTTTAAGCATGTAAATATGCTTGTGTCAGGAGGCTCCGCTCTTCCTTAACGTATTGACAGAATAGCAAGACATGTAAGCATAAGTTTTGTATTTTAATTATATTTAGTAGGTAAGTTTTTATTTTTAGCCTAAGATGTACTGTAAGATTCCCTAGCCCCAAGAAGTTGGGGTAGGTTATAGTATCAGTAGGTGTTCAGTGTGTGTTGTGTGTGTGCGAGTGTGTGTGTGTGTGTGTGTGTGTGTGTGTGTGTGTGTGTGTGTGTGTGTGTGTGTGTGTGTGAGTGTGTGCGCGCGTGTGTGTGTGTGTGTGTGTGTGTGTGTGTGTGTGTGTGTGTGTGTGTGTGTGTGTGTATGTGTGTGTTTCTGTAATCAATGCATGTTTATTCCATGTATAACAATATTTTTTCAGTTTCTTCATAATTTAGGGTTTTTATCCACATTATCAATACTGATTTGCACTCATGACAGGTCTTCGAAAAAATTTGTAATATTTTATTAACTTTATTGTAAAGATAAGCTGATCGTTTTTTAAATTGGTGATTGGTCGTTTTTTAAAGTGTGTGTCTCATCACATGCAGTCGCCATTGTGCCTTGTTGCGATGTTATTGTTTGTGTACCGCGAGCGTGTATCGGTACGGATCGCTCGCGCATTCGACTTAAAAGTTTTGTTATAAGTAGTGTTGTTAAGTTTTATTAGTTATGTAGTGTGTGAAGTGTAGTGAAGTTTTGTTGTAGAAATTGTGCGAAATTACTATCTAGGTACGTTTAGCGCGCGTGATTATGGGGAGATGATAATGTGTTGTAGTAGTGTAGGTATCCTGACCGTCGCCATCCATCAGACTCCAGGATAATTACTGGTGACTATCAACGCTTGCTAGAAAACCAGCCCATTGTTCCCAGACAAAAAGGCGCCGGAAGACCAATACCTACGTGGATTTTGGAATTGGTTCGCTAACGTAACGAGACGCTACCACTTATTAGTGCTTTCCTATTTAAACGTAGTTTAGGTAGGTTTGGACCGCAACCGTGGCCAGCACGATCCCCAGACCTAACCCATTTGGACCCCTTTTTGTGGGGTTACGTAAAAGAAAAAGTGTTTGTGAGTGCGTGTGCAAGTGAGTACGAAATGCGAGACCGCATCACAAATGCTTTCCAGAGCCGGAAACCGGAGCGATTCTAAGGTACCTACGCATTTTTCTTTTTTTATCATTTATCAGTTACCATGTTATGCTTGTTAGATTTTCCTCTGTAAGTAATGCAGCTATCTTTTAAATAATAATTTATTGTTATTAAAACGTGGCGCGAGCGCGATTATTACATTGTCTTTTGTAAGTAATGCGGCTATCTTTTAAATAATAATTTATTGTTATTAAAACGTGGCGGGAGCGCGACCGTTTGTCTGAACGTAAGGTCGCGGCGCTGCCCGTAGTGTAAAGTAATAATACTAAAAGCGCTGCCGTTCGCTGCGAGCGTTTGCGGTGGTAGCGATACATTGCGTGTAAGGTAATGAAACAAATCGGTTTAATTGGATTCCCATAACGTTCCTGAAATAATTTCATGTACCGGTCAACTTAAGACGATATACTGAATCCACCCTATCAGTTTGCGGAAGGCTGTCCCTTACACCCTGTATACACTGGTCAAGACGAATTTAGATTTGATACGAATAATTGGCATTTCCTATTTGAGCGCTTATTGAAAAGATAATATCCCAGAAAAAATTGTGAGTCAGAAATAATTATCTCCCACGGAAATTGTACTCAAGACCAGCACAGTCCCAATTATGAGAAATAAATCGTTGTCTAAAATCCAGTTACTTAAACAATTTATATATAAAATAGCACACAACAACTTTTTCTCGTTACTCTAAAACGTACTAAGTAGAAATTCTCTCACAAATAATATTACAAAATCATATTCGCGGAAATAGGTATATAGTTTTAGAGAACTCAAGCGATGGTAAAACTCTTGGATCTGACGTTTGGCAGTTTGGAATTTTAACGGGCTTTCCACCAGTTTCCCCAGTTCGTTGTAAAGGGACCGTTGAGTCCGCTTTGAGCGTTCCTGCCTTTTAATTTTGCTTTCCTAGTGGAAGCTTTAACTTTGCATTGAATTCAGTGAATGGGAGGGATGATATTGTCTCAATTTCAACACAGTCTATGTTTGGAAAATGTTCTTTAATAGCACAAATGCTGAGAATTTAAGTTACAGTCGTAGGTAAACCAAAAATAGTAACTTTCGTAATTCCATAGCTTTGTTACATTTGATACTCGTTTCAGAAGCAGCTGAGGACAAGCAGCATGAAAAAGAAACTGTTTTTAATCCTCTGCTTCAAAATTCTGACTAAGAGAGTGCTCTAACAAATATAAAAACAACTTATAGTCGAATGGCATATTTACATTTTTAAAAAAGAAAAAGTGATGCACTGTAAGAACATGTCTATCTGACGTCTTAAAACAGAACACGTGACGTTAACCCTATAAATAACGTTTGTATCAAAGAAATATAACTAAAGCCTGCACTTCTTAACACGCATGACTGCCTCCAACTCAAAGGTGTAATACTAGATACCTGGAAATTCCTCAGCGCACTCTTCAAAGATATTCTCAAAGCAGTCAGCGAGTACATCGAACTGGCAGATGAGGCGTATTAGGTGAGCTTGCACGATCACCTCGGATATGATCACCATGAGTGATGCATATGCGAACATGATGGCCACTGCTGTATATGTTGCCATATAGGTCAGCAGACTTTGGTACTCAAAAGGGAGTTTTACGTCTACCATCAAATTGAACTTTAACTCGTCTATCATTGGGTACAGTTCCCTGTAATGGAATGCAGAAATGTTAACTTTAGCACCACAAATATTAGAGTTAAACGCTGTTGTAACATTGCCGGGTATCCGATCCAGCCGTGTACCTCAGGGGATGGAGGAAAATGTATAACTTGTTCACATAGTAATTCATGTCAGGCGCATCCGGATCAGCAGTGCCCGGCAGGCACGTATGGACGCAAAGTACGAGCGATATGACAGCGCTATCAAATTTTTATCCATATCTTGCTAAATTGTCTCATGTTCATATAGCACTATTGCAATAATTGCAAAGTTTTCAAATATACTATATAATAACATAGATATGAAAGATTTGATGGTTTGTTTGTTTGAATTGAATAGGCTCAAGTACATGAGTAATTTAAAAAAATCTTTCACTGTTTTGAAGGTAGGCGTGTTATCCCCGGTGAACATAAGCTATAAAAATCGCAGGAACAGCAGCAATGCTCCTGATATGTGTGAACAGGTGACCAAACAAGAGGCATCTCGGAACACTAATCGACCTGACCCGATAAAGTGACATGATAATAAATGGTTTCCACATAAAACCTTTTTAGTTGATCAAGACTAGCTTAATTTAAAATTTAGATTATAATCTATACTACACTAATAAGCATACTTTACCAAACAATCAGAGTTAAACAACCCAGCGTAAGTACCACTTTCAAGTACTTATTATTAATTAGAACCCAATAGTTGACAATACGCTTCCTCCTCTGAGTAGACATGTCGAAACTTGAAGATTCCAAAGCCTTGGCTAGTTTCTTGAAGACTCTCTTGTTTTTTACCTAAAATTATATAATCATAACAGACGTGTAATAATTGTTTTTTTTTGGTATCAATTTATCAGATCTGCCGTTCTCAGAAACATCATCTTTATTTTAACGATTCCTATATAAAGATTTTGTTTCGATAACAATTGTTAGGGTCAGATTTAAGTTACCATTAAAACACTCGAAGTAAGGCGGTAAGGTTCATTTATTTTCTATGATCTGTGAAGTGATGAATGTGATCATGACTATATTAATTCGGATACGGGTGAATAACGAAAGAGTTATTGCAAATACCCAATGGTACACAATAAATCATTTACCCAATGATACATATTTTATGATCCTCCATTTATGTTAAAAGTCAAAGATCAGTAAAAGTTTTCCCGTAATGTATGACTAAGAAAGCATCCTTTTTAAATAATTCCTTTTTCAAAAATAAAATACCAATCACAAAGTTCGCTTTTCGAGAAACCTGCAAAGGTTTCATTTTAAAACAAAATTTAAACTGGATATGTCCTGAAACATATAATTTCTAGACATAAGTATTAGAACTTTCAGAGGAATCTACAAGAGTTCGCATGTAAGATTGCAAAACTTATTTCAAGCGCATTTCATTGAAATAATATTATTAAGTGTGGGAGAGCCATGCTTCGGCACGAATGGGTCGGCTCGACCGGAGTGATACCACGGCCTCACAGAAAACCGGCGTGAAATAACCACATCGTTGTGTTTCGCCGTGTGAGTGAGGTTACCGGAGGCCCAATCCTTTCCCTCCCCCAATCGCTCCTCAATCCCTAAATCTCCAAATCCCTAATCCTAAAAGGTCGGCAACGTTGACATGGACACTCAGTCCATGGGCGGCGCTGATTGCTTACCATCAGGTAATCCGTCTACTCGTTTGCCGACCTATTACATTAAAAAAAATTAAGTATAATATCTACAACTTTTTATTATACGTTTTCATCGCATAAGATTTCACCAACTAGGCGTTGTAGGTAGAAAATAGCAAACAATTACCATGGTCACAAGTTTCCAAAAAGTGACCAAATGTATAAAGATGACGTTCACGCTGGATATGATCTGGTCCAGGCTCACATCATTGTTTCCAAGAACACTCCAGATCTCAAACCAGACTACAAGAGCAGATATTATTCTTATGAAACTGCTGTACGCGGTGTAAAGAAGATAGTCGTCTGATGTGGACAAACCTGGATAGGAAACAGGATTTTAGATCGGTAATTACACCAACATGTGAGAGAGCCAAGCTTCGGCACGAATTGGTCGGCTCGACCGACCGGAGTGTTATATCGGTCTCGCAGAAAACCGGCGTGAAACAGCCACAGCGTTGTGTTTCACCGCGTGATTGAGGTTACCGAAGGCCCAATCCTTACCCCTCTTTTAAATATCCGGAACCCTTATCCCCAAAAGGCAATGCACTTGTACCTCCTTTGGTCTTGCGGGCACTTCATAGTCACATAAGTGGCGCTGATTGCTTACCATCAGGTAATCCGCCTGATCGTTTCCCGTCCCTTATAATAAAATAAATAATAAAATATCAATAAGTCATATTTTGGACTTAGGTGTGTCTAGTGTCTACTTATACTTAGATATCAAAGGGGAACAAATAAGGACCTTACCTACAACGAAAGAAAGTCGATAAACGGATGCGAAGAAGGCAGTCTCAAGTGGACCGGCGAGCTCCAAGGCTTTACTTTGGGAGATTCTCTTCCACACATAGCTTAAGACCCTCATTATGTGCGGATTGCCTCAGTAATTGTCCAATGTGGATTACTGATCCCAACCCAATATGGGTTCCCTTCTTAATTACGTATTCCAATATTAGCAGTAATTACATCCATGTCAAAGGATCCAGTTCCATTGTCACACGACTCTTTTTTTAATTTGTCTGGAATTAATTTCGTATGTAATGAATTAAATTTGATTATTTCAATTCATTAAATTTTAAATTATCATTATTTCGTTCATTGCATATGTATCGGTAAACGGTAAAATGGTGACCGATTTCGCTTAAGCGAAATGTACGCTTTAATAATTCATTAATTATTAATTTCGGTGCCTGGTTTTGTCATTCGATTTATTACCGTGCAATTATATTAATAAATAAATAATTAAGCATTATCTGAAGATTCAGTTTGTTGTGACAGAAGTAGAATCGAGATATCAAAACTTTTTATCATCAGCCCATGAGAACCAGTGTTGAACTGTGGATTTCTTCTATATAAAAGATTTTTTGAAGCTGACCAGACGACACATATTAGACTGTATCAGCTTTACTGTAATAATAGAATTTACCTATGAAATTGCCGTTTTGCATGAAAAAATTTAAACGAATTTTTTGATTTGAAATGCGATGAAAATGTAACACTAATAAACAAATGACTACTTTTGGAAAAAGAATCCCATGTTTTTAAAACAAAATTAATTAGCTTTAGCCTTACAAAAACTATTTTGATTTGAAGTTGCCAGTACTGCAGAACGGCAATTTCATAGGTAAGTAAAGACCTATTATTTGACTGCCGATAAAAACCGTCGAAGGCAAATCCTCCGGTAGCGTCAATCAACATTGAACTCGTTAGCTGTGAATGGGCGTCCCTCCGCCAGCTTTCACGATAATCTGACTTAAAGAATGGGTAACCTAAAGATTATACCTTTATGTATAATTCTGGTCTGGACTTCAAAAGAGACTGACTTCTTTATTTATTTCTTCATACCGTAGTCACATTTCTATTTGTATGTAATCTATACAAATTGTAAGTAAAATTTGTAAGTTTTTATGTTTGTAAGTATGTATGTACGGGGTTATCTTTGGAACCGCTGGTCGGATTGCCAAAATTCTTTCACTGATATATAGGCTATAAAAAATCACGCTACGATCAAATGGAGCCAAGCAGCGGGTGAAACCGCGCGAGATTAGCTAGTATTTAATATTAAAATAAAAGTGTTGTATCTATAAAAAAAAAATATTTAAATTAAGAACTTAGGCGTTTTCAAATAACATAGACATTGTGTAGTGGAAACAGTTACCATGCAGTCATAGACAAGGGGCGTGTTCCTTTGCAAAAATAATATATTATTCCTTTACGATCCGTTTGTTCTATTGTATAAAATAACAAGACATCTTTGATACGTCTTTAGTAGCCGACAGGAGACATTTTAATGTCCTACTAATTACAGTTCTAATTAATTTAACTAGGTCAACATGTTTTATGATATACATATAAAGTTTGTGTGTTATACATAAATATTAATTACTAGCTACACTCGCGCGTTTTCACTCGCTGCTCGGCTCCTTTTAATCGTACCGTGATGTTTTATAGCCTATAGCACTCGGGAACATTGTAACTATTTATCAGTGAAATAATTTTGGCAATCTGATTAGCGGTTCCAAAGATTACCCCCTACATACAAACTTATAAATTTTACCTCTTTATAATATTAGTATAGATATGTGGTAGTTTCATTTCATACATAATCATTCTTTTGTCAATTTTATTGTTAAAATATTATATTACGCTCGAAACTGTTGAATTATTTCTACTGAAATTACTCGACTACTTTCAGGCCATAACAGGGGGTGATTTAATATTTTTCTTAATACTTATAATATAAATAATAATAATGTAAGTATACGTACATTCGGAGCTAGTAAGGTTACACATTTAATAAAAATACATTTTTGTAGTGCATTGTTTATTTTTTTGAAAGAATGTGCAAAAAGCTGTTAATTTTAATAAAGCCGAAAAACAATATATAATTCAATAAGCAATTTGTAATTTGATAGCAACAGCAGCATAAATATTTTACAAATATTTTTTGATATTATTAATTTCGGAATCGAAGCAACACCGTCAAAGCACTGTAAGAAGTCTTCACGAGCTGAAAAAGAAAATAAAATCAACATTTTTGGTCAAGAATAGGAAAGCAACCTAAATATATTAAATAGATATGCCGTAATACCTTCTACTGCAACTTAAGTTTCGCAAAGTCAATACAAAACGGGAAAAAATAATAACTTTCAAATCAATTACCTATAGTCCAATGTAAATGCGTTTTATAAGCAAATGATATGCATTGTACCGAAGCACTTGGTCTTCAACAAATATTTATTTATGTATTTTGATTTTAGATAAAATTAAAATTAAATTGAAGAAATTTTGAATATTTTACATAAAAATTACTTAAGTAGATTCATATTATAAACACGAATGATTGTAAGAACGGATGGATCTTTCACGTAAAAACTATTGGATGGATTTTGACGAAAATTGGCATAGAGATAGATTATAGTCTGCAATTATACACAGGCTACTTTTCAACCCAGGAACGCGGGAGAAGCCGGAGGCAGAAGCTGGTTCCCGTAATTCCTAGGTTCTAACACGAGCTAGGACATGAAAGAGTTTGCCTCAATTTCTACTTAGTCATGACTTGAGCTATTACTGCCTAAGACGAACAAATACTAGATCCAGTTATAACGTAAATATAATTCATTTAGGCTGGAACTAAGCATTAAGCCTGAGGCTACAAGGGAGGCCACAATAAATAAAGCTTGTGAACGTCATCCGTGTGCCCCCGGCAGAATCCACGTGAAAGCAAAACTCTTTGTTTCTAAAACATTCTACCAATATTTTTGTTATTTTTTTTTATTCTGTGATGCCCGGAAATGTGGATGTGTTTTGTTTATGTGGCTCCCATTAGTTGTATGAAAAAGTTGTTCGCATATTTCGAAATATTATCAGTGTTGTACTTTATTGGGGTAGATATATCCGTCGTTTGGGCGTTTGCCGCTCAACTTTTCACTACAATTTTAAACGCATTACTGCAGTTTTAGGGATGGGTTTAAGGTATTTAAAACTTTGAGATAGGTTTTTTTGTGAGGGGAAAATCATCGATAAAGCCTCTTACTGACTAAAAACCCCCCTGTTCCTTCTCCTGCTCTGGGCCGAGGTCGCGGTGCCTCAATGCGCTTACCCCGCAACCCCGAGGAATATAGGGATGGAAGGAGAATTTAGCCCCAGTACTTTCATCGTAATATAATCTTCCTTGAACTATTACTACAATATTTTAGCATTTTTTTCAAACGACCTTCAAACGACATTTTACTATAGCAGCTTTAATTTCCATACCTAAATGTATCACTTTAACGTAAAACTAATAATAATGTTTATTTTTGCAGAAGGTAGACAATGTGGCAATTTATTATGAAGAATTTTCTCCAACTCTCAAATCTGCAATGTTTGAGAACAAAATTACATTCTTTCGGAATGAAATGAAGTTTTGAAAACCACATTCCACAAAGCGCAACTTGGTTCAAATTGTCAAAGTTCGAAACAGTTAGGAGAGACTTGAATTCAACTTACACTTGTATAAGATGTGAGGGAGAGGTCGTACATCCCTCCCGCAGTGAGTACGAGGGGTTTGTTGGCCCTCGCTATCACGAACATGATGGTAGACCGCACTCCGGGCAGCTTGGAGACTCCGCACTCCCACCCTGAGCAGTATATGGCTTCACCGACGTTAGCACTCTGGAAAAAGTGTTAGGGGATTTTTGTGGGAAGGATTATAAAAGAGTATTTGACTAGTTGTCATCGCTTTATGGCAACTAATTAGCGCTACCCATAGATACTTGCGACACCAGAGAAGTCTAAACTTTGTTGCCTAGAATTTAAGATGATTTTTCTATTCAAATATATTTTCTTCATCTGTTGTAATGGGATAAGAACCTTTGTTCTCTTTTGTGCCTTTGGGCGTCATCCAGTTTGTGATAAGGATAATAAACTGGGTTCAGGAAAAATTACCTGATTAGTAATCTCCTGGCACCAGCGACATATCATGTAGAAGTCGAACAGATTGTAAGCCAGGAACAGGAAACTCGTCATACATTCAACAACGCTTTGCCCTATGGTCTGCGAAACATTTACCAAAAAAGTTATTTAATTATTCTACATAGGTTGATCTATTGAAATCGCCTGTCCGCCATAAGCAAGCGTGACGATTAATGCTCAAACCGTCTCGGTGTGAAAAGAGGCCTTGTTCAGCAGTGGGCACTTATAAGCTGATGATGATGATGTAGGTTAATCCCATATAGTAATTATTAACAAAAATTTTATCCTAACTTCCTCAACGAATGCTTCTTGATCACCTTTGAATGGATTAAAATATGGATAAAGAAAATGTTGTTGTGATTAGCTCAATATTTTAGAGTAATGAGTAGTGTTTCAGATTTATTAATGCGCAGTTCTGAAATTATATATTTTACCAAACCCTCCGGAAAATTATACAGCTCCGATTTATTAAAGTTTTCATTTCTTCACCCGTCATTTAGTGCTTATTTTGTGAGGGGAAAATCATCAAATGACTTCTCCCGCCCAGGGCCGGGCGGGAGGGAGTGTCAGACTCTTACTGACTAAAAACCCCCTGTTCCTTCTCCTGCTCTGGGCCGAGGTCGCGGTGCCTCATTGCGCTTACCCCGCAACCCCGGCTGGTCATTTAGTGCTTGAGTATTATATCATGACTAGGTACTAGTCAAAATCGAAATTATAAGTATTTTGAATTCGAAATGTCAAAAGCTACTGTTAGTATTATATAAATTTTTTACTCAACTGTGTGTCGTGACGTTTCATTTTTACTATGTCAAATAGCACTAATTTCACAATTAGCTAGAATAAAATCAACTTATAAATGTGTTATTATTTTTGAATAAAAAATTTACCTATAGGTACATATTTTTATATGCGAATTTACCCAATCACCAAAATTACGTACTAAGTAGGTTTGCACATATACATATAAATGCCCACTAATTTTCCTCCTTACAAATACCTGTGTTAACAAAAGGAGGTTCTATTAAATAAAACTTCTTAGACTCACTTAGTTTACGAATTACGAACCAATGTGAATTACGGGTTGACGACTAGTGTCTAGTTTTGGCTCTCTTCAAGTTCAGAATATTAGCCCCGAATTTTGAACTCTCTAGGGCGTTAAACTTGGAGCGACCAAGTTAAGTAGGCATTGAAAGAAATTTTTCATAACTTTCGAATTTGTCAAGGGATTATTAGTTTGCTAATTTCTTTTATTAACTTGTATTCCATATTTTTTCTGAGAAAAATAAATTTTATGGTATTGAGCTCAATGTCGTTTTTCTGGGACGATTATGATGTTGTGTGTAGATTAATAGTTAATCTCGTATATGGCGATTGTAAGCACACACACATGTGGGACAGGGCTGCTGTCCCACATGTGGCGGGTTCGATTACCGCACGGAAAAACACCTTGTGTTATCCACAAATTGTTGATGAGGCTTTTATACATCAATTTGTATGTTTGTAACCGCACCCACTACACAGTAGAAATATATATTGAATCCTAGAATTGGTACAGGGCAACGTTTGTTTAAAACAGGAAATAAAGATATTCAATCTATCTCATTTCGCGGTCACTTCAAGCCCAAGAAGTGCTAAAACTATTATATTTATTTAATAATTTATGTACACACAGTAAGTTGTTTAACAATTAGGTACAAAGGCACAGCTTATTTCTTCAGAAATCTCTTCCAGGAGGCCCGTTGTGGGAGAGTTAGAATAAACAGTTATGTAGACTGACTGTGTAAACAAAATTAGGAAAAAGAAAAACAATAATAATTATAAACTAACTATTAAATTATTACTATATTCAATACTTCTAAATAAATCTTGTCTTTCCTAAATGTTGAAACCAAGAACGTTGTCCAGCTGTCGCAATCATCAAAAGAGGTATTACAAAAATACTTATAAAGGTTCGTGATCGACAAACTCACCGCAGTGGCCTGATATCCAATGAAGCAAATGAGCACACCACTGGCTGCCAGCTGTCCCAACAACGGCCCACTTAGCGTGTCTCGGAGGTTCATCGCGTGACTACACACACAATACAGTTCAATGGACATTAACTTCTTTTATCACGACTTATAATACAGTAGGTACATGTGACTCGAAACTGTGTAAGTACAGCTATTTCAAGATATTCAACAGATCCTATAATATTTTAGATGTGCGTATTGAAGCAAGATGGAGGCCTGGGAGGCCTAAATATTAAGTATCGAATATCTTCCGTCTTATAATGACGGTAATATTAACATATAATAGTGATATATGTACAATACAAAAATTAAAAAAATACATCGTATTGACCGAGTGAGTGAGGCCGCCGAGTGAGTGAAGATACCAGATATTAGTCGTCTCCCTTCCTCATACACCATTCTCTAAATCCATGTATTATTTTTCTTTCCCCCAAAAGGCCAGCAAAGCACTAGTCCTCTGGTGTTACTGGTTAACTATAGGCGGAGCCCGTAGTTTTCAATAAGGCACCCCGTCCACTCGTTTACAACCTATCTATATTTAAATATTAATTCGACTTTTATTTTTTCAACTACTTAAGTCACAATCCGATAACATTATACAAAACCTCGTTAGCCAGCACTGACCATCAAATAATATTTCAGAATATAAAGATTTTATTTCCAATAGACATTTTACGTTTAATTTACCTAATTACCTCTAAAAATTGCTGAGCAAAAGTACCCTAACCTGATAATTCTTTCTCTGGCCTGTCCAGCGCAAATTATTATATGACAGTGACCTTTTTCCAACATAAAATATCCGAGCGTAGCGTTGTCGAGTCATAAAAATTCGTTTTATACAATAAAAGAGTAAAAATTACAGGTCATTAAGGAAACAGTGGAGCAATGTAAGCGCCTGAGGCAAAATTATTACATTTTGCAGGTTCCTGCGCATGTCACGTAGAGGGTGGATATAAATGTATTGTTTTACGTGATCTGCTTTACTTTAGACCCGTAGCCACGCTTTTGAGCAAGGAATATTTACAGATACTGATATATTATATATTTTTTTATGTAATAGTACGGCAAAAGAGCTGACGGTGCCGCCCACGGACACCCGCAGTGAGTGCGTTACCGGCTTTTGTGATTATGGTTTCGGAGATTTAGGGATTGGGCGTCCCAATCTTCGTTAGATTATAGATTATTAGTGTATTGGGTTTCCGATATATTCACTCACACGGCGAAATACACCGCTGTGGTTGTTGCACGGCGGTTTTCTTTAAGCCCTTGGGATCACTCCGGTTGAGTGGACCATTAATGCCAAGGCATAGGTATAACTCACTATATTATTTATCTCATAACGTCCATTTGTTTCTATATAACACAACCATGAAAGACATTTAAACAGGCTAGTAAGTCGACATGCAACTATAGGCTACTAGCCTATAGGACATTTTACTACCTTAGGTATTTTACTACGCGACTATATTTAAGTTATATAGTGACATCGTTGTGAAAAATTTGCCCAGTAGAGTGTGATTGAAGCATTATTTAGTACAATCCTAGATTTAAGAAGGCATTTATATAGGTAGTAATGTAATACCTACATCTATTTTATTCTCCGTCCCACATTGCCAATCCTCATAATGTCAATGTAATAAAGCTATTTATGTTCACCAATATTGAAAGGATACGTGACAATAGTGTTGGCAACATATTGCCTTGGTTATTATTCTGTTATCTTAGTACCATATATTTGAGAGAGACAGCCTCATACTGCCATCTAGCGACGTCCGCAGTAAGTCAGCTACGGAGGTTTTTTTGGGAAGCTAACTGGCTTTTTAACTTACATAACTTAACTTTTTAACCGACTTAAAAAAAAATGAGGAGGTTCTCAATTCGTAGGGATCTTTTTTGTTGTTCTTTTCATGTTTTTATACTATGGGTACTATTTTGGAATGTATTAGCGATGTGGAGGTTAGGGTATCGTCTCTCGTAGTTAGTAGCGCAGGTTTGAAAACTGGTCTACCTATTAAGTTTGTACAAATGTGACATCTGACAACATATAATTCCTTATTATAAAACAAGATTTATCTTTAGTTCTAGGTTTACACCATTGAGTCAGTTTTTGTATTGGGATTCTTATTTTGTGGCCCGAAGGTTAAGGAGCCCGCTTCTCATGCATGAGGGTGTGGGTTCGAAACCTGGCAAGTACCAATGTGACTTTTTCCGACTACTCTCTATGATTATTTAGACACCACTGATATACGGTGAAGGTAAACATCGTGAGGAAACCTAGGACTTATAATTTCTAATTATAAGTTTTAAATCGCCAACCCACATTGAGCGAGCGTGGTGATTAATGCTTTAAACTTCTCCGTATGAGAAGAGGCCTTTGCTCAGTATTGGGCACTTTGGCTGATGATGATTCTTATTTTTACCTACCTTCAATTGGAAATACAAAGACTGGCTCAATTGTTTAGACCGAGACTAAAAAAACCTTGTTTTGTAATAAGGCTGATATTGTTAAATTATTTAGATTTTACTGAAATATAGTGAAGGAAAATATCGTTAGGAAATTCAGACTTATATTTTGAATTATGTTTAAGTTATATACAGCACGAATCGCCACGAATGGGTCGGCTCGACCGGAGTGATACCACGGCCTCACAGAATACCGACGTGAAACAACCACAGCGTTGTGTTTCGCCGTGTGAGTGAGGTTACCGGAGGCCCAATCCTTCCCCTCCCCGATCCCTACCAATCCCTAAATCTCCAAAACCCTAATCCCTAAAAGGTCGGCGATGCACTCGTTACTCCTCCGTTGCGAGCGGCGCTGATTACTTACCATCAGGTAATCCGTCTGCTTGTTTGCCGACCTATTCCATAAAAAAAACAGCTAACGCGCTTTCAGCAAGCGTGGTGGGGAATGCTCATTTTTGACTAGTTGCTTTGAAATGAGATCTTTACAGGCTAATGATGATGATGATGATGATTATAAGTAAATATTAGTTTATACTTACCCTAGAAGTGCTTTATGCTGTTTTACTAAGTTGCCTAATCTCTCCGTGTATCTTGCAGCAAATTGATTGTTATACATTAACTGGTTTCTCGGCACCCCTGAAATATTAAAAGTTTTTGTAGTTACATCTTGTTCTATTCTTTTAAGACACATGTATCAAGTCCTACTATAAATGTAATCATATCACAAAATTTTGCTTAAGAAACTACTTCTACCTTCTAAGATTATTAGGCACTACTAACAGACAAAGAAAAATATGAACTCCTACTAATTTCTAATTATAAGTTATAGGCAATCTGCACTGAGCATACGTGGCGTTCAATGCTTAAATTTTTATTATGCGCTTATACATAGACTGATGTTGATAATGTAATGTATAACAAAAGTGGTACAGAATTGTAGTGGACGGTCCTGTAAGTAGGTAAAACACCGCTGTTCAACCCATCAGGGAGCAAAAAGGATGATTTATGTTGATGTGTACCTAACCCTGGAATCTCTAACCCATAAAAGGCTGCCAACGCTCTTACGTAATTTCTCGTTGTTGTCGGTGCCCTTTGGGTAGCGCCAATTGCTCACCATCAAGGGCAATGAAACGAACTAAAAATAGAGAAAAATTCTCAGCATACCTTCAAAACCTGCCATGCAGTCAGGGATCATATTTTCAAAGCAGTCACCCAATACTGCGAACTGACACAGTAGGTGTATGAGATGGGTCTGCATCTTCAGGTCAGTCACCATTACAAAGTGGGAGATGTAGATGAAGAATAACACGGAGAGCATGTATGCCAGAGGGTACATAGAAGGTGACTTGTAGAAGAAAGGCAAGTAAACCCCCACTATGAGGTTGTACTCGATATCATCCACTAGTGGGAAGATGAACCTAAAATTCAGAGGAGTTTTAGTTTTAGTGTACCTTTCATCCGCCTCGCCGAAAATGAAAACAACTAAAGCGTTATGTTTCGCTGTGAGGTCACCGGAGGCCCAAACCTACCCATAAAACTCCAAATCCCTAATCCGAAAAAGGTCGCCAACGCACTTGTAGCTCCTCCGTTGTTGCGGTTGTTCATGGGCAGCGCTGATTGCTTGACATCAGGTACCTAATTCAGATAAAAAAAGCTATGAACTTTTTTTGTAACTGACAAAGACAATTAATTATAACTTAAACTCTTCCTAGTAATTATTTTGTTTCAAAAACAGTTCCGAATTCCATTTCCGATTCTCAAACATTGAATGTCTTGGAGTACGGCGGTATAATATGAGTTAGTATAGATATTTTCATTTTCTTGGAACGTCAAGTAATTAGGTTACTTATGTGAACTATGCTAGAAAAGTTCAACTAGTTTCAAGTCATACCAGGACTTATATTCATGAGTAGCTTGCGAGGTATAATGGCATCGCAACTATCGAATTGTGCACGTCGGTAAACCGTGTATACATATGTATTCATTTATATGAATATAGTATTCGAAAAAATGGAGAAATAATGTTTCATAGCAACTTTTAAATTATAGTTATTTATGTGTGGGAGAGCTATGCTAATTGGTCGGCTCGACCGGAGTGATCCGCTGAAACAACCACTGCGTTGTGTTTGCCGTGTGATTGAGGGTACCGGAGGCTCAATCCTTCCCCTCCCCAAATCCCTCCCCAATCTCTAAATCTCCCAAATTCCAAATCCTCAAAAGGTCGGCAACGTACTCGTACCTCCACTATTGTTGTGGGTGTTCATGGCTGGCGCTGATTGCTTACCATCAGGTAATCCGTCTGCTAGTTTGACGACATCACTTATGAAGCAAATGACATTCACACGTCTACCGAATAATGAAAATCTCAATGTATATCAAAGACACTGTTATATGGATCAGTGTACAGAAAAACCTAAATTGGTTTATGTATACACTGTATGTATAAGGGCAATGTAATGTGTTAATTTTAATGTAAAATAAATAAATAAATTTAAAATTCAAAAAAGTCAATCACCATTTATAAACTCATCACTCTGTTCCTATTGGGAAACAAAGTTTTTTTTTAAACTTACAAAAAGGTTTTATATAAGAATAACCACCCACCAAGCCAAAAGAGTGCAGTTTCCCAAACCCATAAGTAATTTTAGATATTTCACATTGGTTCGGCTCCAAAATTCCACCAATTTTTGTCTTTGCTCCGTTGATATATCGAAGTATGGAGATTCCATAGAACTGGCCAGTTCCTTGTAAAACTTTTCGTGTGCCAACTAAAATGTTTGATTTGATTAATAAGATGTTATAAGGAAATGTTTCGGAAGAAAATGTCTTCAGGCCTCGTCTTTTATTTTGAACCTCTTTTTTTAAGGATGGGAGATTTGTACTCATAATAATGGGACTATACTGCTGAAAAGTGGATTATACATTGTACACTGCTTACCCTTTCTCGATTCAAAGGACAGCAAATGAAACAAATTTCCCCTAAAAATTTTGTTTATACAGGTTTTTTAGGCACAGGAAATCTGATTACTTGGGTGGTCTTTCTCCATGGGCGGAGTGAGAGAAAATGACAGATTTTTTGATTAAATATCCACCAAGTTCCATCTCCTGCTCTAGGCCGGGGTTGAGGTGCGCTTTACCCGAGGTCCCGGCGAGTTTATACAGCTGCAGTAAGTAAATTTAAGGAAAGATATTCTACTTACCATATTCCTATACCTATAAAACGTGATAAACTGTAAGATGGACACGTTAAGGTTCGCAGCGAATTCATCGAAACTAGTGGTTTCCATGAACCCGTACCAGACTACTCCAAGTACGAGGAGTACTATCATCAGCTTCGCAACGTTGCTGTACACCAGGTAGCCAATATCGTCGTCGGCAGTAGACATACCTGTGGAAAACTTTACAATTACATTAACTCAAGCAAATAGACAGAAACGGTTTTAACGTGGATGTAAGTTCAATAGATATTCCAAGTCGTCAGACTGGGTTACGGGTTAACTGCAATACAACACCCTCGTTAGAAATTAAAATAATTATGTCACTTCTAACACTAGTTCTTTACTGACTTCTTTACTAAAAAATATTCTATTTTATTTATTTATAATAATATACAGAGCTCTCGGCTCAGAACAGAAGAAGAAAAACTTGGAAAGTTTTTGAATGATTTCTCCGCCCTCGAGCGATATTACAGTCCTAGGGAATGTCAGACTCTTACTGACTAAAAACACTCCTTCTTCTCCTGCTCTGAGTCGGGGCCTCGGTACAGTATAGCGCTTACACCAGCTATGACACTGCCACTGGATACCATGCAAGTAAATCTAGTAACACTAGTATATCTGTGGTCAGGTCTCTGTGACAACTTGAAACTAAGTGCAAGTTGCTCTCCCGGGTCCTAGACTAGTTTGTACAATCAACATGAAGATGAATTGGACAGACTCAAGTGTGAAATTGTTAATTAATGCGAACAAATGCTTGTTGTAAGACGTGGAATGCTCAATTTATTAATATTTAACAAGCGTAAAGCTCGTTAGGTAATCGTTAACGTTATTACAATTTATTGTTTGCATGCTAAAGGCTATTTTACTCATATTGAATACTGTGAGGACCTTTCTTTCTGAAATAACATATGCCCGTGGCTTTGATCGTGTATCCTTTTCTAGTGAGTTTATAATATTTTATTTTTAAAAAGTATAACGACAAGTTTTTATCGCATTAGTTTTAATCGTTGCAAAAAGTCACACGTAAAAACTACAAAACATAAAAAAAATTATCACTTTTAAATTTAAAGATTTCATAGTTACTTAATTCTTTCCATTAATATCGCTGATTTATTTAATACTTATTTTTGGGCGTGGGCAATGATATGGGCATTGTAGATTCAATATTTACTATCACCGTTTAGTATAGGTACAACTTTCCAAGTACCGTTTAACATTTAGCTAGTTATTGGTCCCCCAATAAAAGTAGAATATAAGGCCTTGACAAAAATCGAATACCAATTTACCTGCCACATATGCAATTCTATAGTAATTCTCAAAGAATATTGTCTCTAGTTTTCCACTTGATCGGTCGATGGCTTTTGTATAGGACAATTTGAGACAGAGGTTTTTGATGAGACCCATTGTTGGTGACGAATAGAACCTTCTTCAACAATGTCCGTGACTGTAAGTTCCCTACTCTCTGCAAAGGGTCATAATGGCCGCCCTGATTGAACGGTAAATTAATTGCTAGTACGTTTCCATTGTACAAGAATCTTGTCGGATTTTGTTGGTTGGTGGTTTTTGACGTATCGTACGGTTTAGACTATTACAATTAAGTTTTAGGTTTTGTTGGGTTGTTTTTTTTTAGGTTTTTTAGATTGGCCTGTAACAATCTATTACGAATAAAAAAGTGCAAGGGTTACTTTGACCTAGGGAGGTAATTTTGGTTCAAATTTTCAACCTAATAAAAAACGAATATACGTTTGGTTCTGGGTTATTATTGGCTAAGGGGTTTGGATCAAAGCTACCCCCCATGGCATTAAGCCGAACTTACTAAACTTGTATACCTACTTCTTATTTTTACAGTGAAATAACAAGAACAAAACAGAAAGTAAATATAAAATTAAACAGACCATTTTCATATCAATGAGCGGTTAATAATAGGAGCTTGTAAAATAATCCCCGGAGCCTCTAATTAATGCCGACAAATTCACTTTACAACTGTTTAGATCTTTTGTTCAGGATATTAAATCTCAAATTTACATATACATGAATAAAATTCAGTAATTATCCATCCTATTGTATTCCTTTGAGAACGGTAGCAATAAATAATTCAGTGGTTAGAAACTATTTAAAATACACCATTCATTATATTCAGATTAAGTGCTTACCCATTTCAAATCCATTAGGAGCTATTAAGGTGTTTTATTAAATCGTTATAGCCTCGTTGATCTAATAGTCACAAGTTGTGAATACCAGGTAAATTTAATAAACCTTTTTTTATTTATTTATTCCTACTTTGTGGAAAGAAGGTACATAAGCGACTTATCTAAAATTCGACCCTCGGGTGATGCCGCGATGAATCTATTGCACACGAAGCAAGCAAACTTTTATTTAAGGCATACATGATATGTGAGTATTATTAACATGTAAGTACAATATACCTAATATTTCCAAATAAGGATCATACAATAATGAATATATATATTAGGTATAATGTAATAACTGTACTATTTATTTATCATTATTAGCAGATTGATTCAGAAACTCAAGAGTGGCTGACTAATTAAAGAGTTTTCTGATTCTGTCAACTCTTTCAACGAAAGCTCACAAATGTCAAAATCATTTATTCCAATTAGACCTTTACAGGCACTTTTGAACGTCAAACAAAATTTTGAAGATATAGTGTCAGTCTGTCGGTCAGTCCATACTTCGGCACGAATGGGTCGGCTCGACCGGAGTGATACCAGGGCCTCATAGAATGTCAGCGTGAAGCAACACTTACGTTGTCCTTCGTCATGTGAGTGAGGTGTTGTCCTCCAACACTTCCCTTCACCCCGATCCTTAATCCTCAGATCCCTAATAACCAACACAAGAGGCCAGCAACGCACTTGTTGCACACACTCGCAATACCAAAGGAGTAATTCCTTTGGTATTGCGAGTGTCCATAGGTGGTGATCCGACAAAGAACTATAGTTATCGACATAGCCCAAAGGATAAGCAAACTGAAGTGGCAGCGGGCAGTTCACATTTGTCGAAGAACCGATGACTGTTGGCGTAGACGTGTTCTAGAGTGAAGACCAAAACTAGGCAATGCCTCTGGATGAGAAAAGCTAAATATCGAGCTCAGTGGCGTGAAATTGCGGCCTATGTCCAGCAGTGGACGAAACCAGGCTGATGATGATGATGGGTGGTGCCGATTGCTTACCATCAAGTAATTCGCGTGCTCGTTTGCTGTCATATGACACAAAAAAATCATTTATTTAAAAAAAAAAACTACTTGACCACAAACGCCACTGCTGAACAAGGAGTTTCCCTCATAGTCCAAGAAACTTATAACATTACTGCCGAAAAGGACAGTTTTACCTATAATACTGTGCACTTCTATTTACTTTGAAGGGAAAAACATATATCATATTAGGTAAGTAAAACGATGACTTTTTTGAATGATTTATTAACAGTCGATATACTTTATAATAATACAACATTGAGAATATTATCACAAACATCGAGATCTGGGGTTACATGGGTCTTAACTCTAATTTAAAAGGCATTTTTCTATACCTGCTGCCTATTCAATGAATAATTGATACGTACCTACATAGGTAGTATTAGACCGTAATATACATATAATGAATCTACAAAGATATTTTTTTGTTGTGTTTTTTCGATAAAAAGTGAGAAAAAAGGAAAAAAGGACGGGAAATTACCAGTAGTGTGTAATGTTCATAGATGGACTCCCCCTAATCTGGGTCCCTGCAGAAGAGTCATTCGACGAATTTCTGATCTCAAATAAAAATATAAGATCCCAACAGTATTTAATTTACCTACTCAAAGTTTTGTCTTGGCCTATCGCCATTAGTTAAAGAAGAAGTGGTGAAAAATACCTTTAAATAACTAACCTTAATCTACTGTATACACAAATTAATATATTAGGTACATACATATATAGGTTTTCATAAATTTTATTAAACTCAACATGTAGGACTAGATTTATGAGCGAATTACTTGTACTTATTAAATAAGTATTTTTTTAATAACATTACCCGTAATCCACAGTGTCAAAAATGCTTTCGCAGCAAGAAGACATTTTAGCTTCTATTATATTATTTAGGCTTTTTAAATAAGACATTTTTAGCTTGTAAGTACTTAGTATTTGGGTTGTTATAAATACTCTTAAACCCTACCACAAGTAAGTAAAGGATCAAACACTTGACTTATCTTAACAAGGCTTAAACAATAATTAATAATAAAAATGAGATTCAATAGGCGAAATTCAAATTTCTCTAATTTAGATATCGATCAGATAAAGGCGCATATTACGGCAAGCCAGCCAGAAATATCTCCGCTTACATTAGGAAATTGAGAGTCAGTTTTAAAGCTTCAGAAATTTAAGAAACATTCTTCTGTTTGCTTAACTTATTAAATATTTATGTTTAGTAGCAAATTGTGGTACTTAAATATAAATCTATAGTCCCTTACTGCAATTAAAGTCCATAATACGACTGTGAACGATCTCGGACCATACATTGTCAGTATTATATTTAATAAACTTTTGATAAATAATAAACTACTAAACATCATATTATTGAACGGTTATTAACGCAAAAAGTATTTATAAGGCTTGGCGTTTCGACCTGGTTGTAGACTCGGAGTTCTTGAGGAGAGTTCATGGAGTCTGCTTGCGACCACGACCTATGCAATCGGGTCGAAACGTCAAGCCCACCAAGGTATTTAAATAATTACTTTTCGCGTTTATACCCGTTTATAATATGTTGTTAACTTGAAAGGCGACAGTTTAAAAGTTTGGATAAACTATAGACTTATTAGGCTATAGGCATACAATTTTTTACAGAAATTTTAGTTTCATTAACGCTATTCATTAAACAAAAATCATGATATATAAGAGTACCTATCATATAATTCTATTTACTATTTTACAGATCCAAGTAAGTAATCTTCGTGGCAGTGACAGCAGCTGCAGCAGCTAATGTAGCAGCGACTGCTACAACAGCAGCAGTGGATCCCATGGCCTTCACTGCGAAGCCCATGATGAAGGAAACCAGGAGTTGTGCCACGAACACGCAGCTGCTGATCACAGCTACATCTGTGCCGATACCTCGCTCTTCTCCGCAACCACCGCCACCACTATCCCACTGGGGAAAAAACACAGAGTTTAAATACAGAATAATATAATCTGTATCATTATTTTTCGACGTCAACCGTGTGATCCCATTGAAGACGTTTACTAGCCTTAGGGCTGATTATTCAATAGTCAGATAAATGTTATCTTGAGTATACAATTGTTGCTGTCACTATCGTACACAAACATTCTGCCGCGACAGCATCATAATTATACCCCAGGTAACTTTTATCTAACCATTGAAAAATTTGCCCTTAAAAGCATTATTTTATCGTATTGGTAGGGTTGGGTTTAGATAATAAGTAACGATATAATATAACACTAGTTACCTCCGCGCCGTTTCACTCGCTGCTCGACTCCTATATGCGTGTAGTTAATCACGAATAATGGACTTTCCAAAACAAAAAATAAACAATTCTATCCAAGAAAACACAGTTTTACAGATCGGTGCGTTCGAAGAAATAGACTTTTCAACATTGTATATAATATTATTTGTAAATAAGTTATTAGTACAGATAATAAATATGCAGAGGCAGCTTTGTCTGAGCAAACATAATATTAAAGTTGAGTAGTACATTCGCTCAGACGAGTTTTTTAATACTTTTCTTATTGTACCGGAACAGTTTTCATATCAAGAAACAATTTTGGCATGATTTGTTTATGGAAACAGATACAGTATCGTTTTAAACGGAATGTTTGATGCTTGATCATTCTTAACTGCAACAATTAGCAATCATTTAATGAATTACAAGGCACACGCTCTTTGAAGTGACTCAAAGTGAACATCAAAGGAGAAATACGTTGAAATATTAATTGTAGGTTCCAAGTTAAAGCTAAAATAACCAATGTCGTGTGTCTGAATACTTTATTGTAAGTAAGGCTACAATATTTTCATTAAAATTTTGACATAAATTCGCTTTATTTATTAGCAAAACAAGTTATTTTGTACATAATGAATTGAAATTAATTGAAAACCGACTCCAACAGTGAAGGTAATTAGTAAGCTGTTTATTAATACTCCTTGAATATAGATTTTCCACGAAATACTTATTATGATGTTTTAATAAATATTTGCCTATAGAATGGTATCAAGTTCTTTGTAACAGCTCAAGAATCGCCTACATGAAAAAACATTCCTTAAAGTAATATCGACGAAACTTTATAGTAAAAAGGGGGTTGGAATAAGGTCGTTTGATAGCACATTTGACGCCGTGGCTGGGGTTCCATCTGGCATGTAACCACTGGTTTGATTAATGCGAAAATAAATGATCCACAAGTTGTCGTTCCGGATCTGGGTGTGATGTAAATGTGAAATTGTATGTTTGTGAACGCAGCCACAACACAGGAGAAAATACTAGTGTAGAGGATATGTTTTGTTAAAAAAGGGTGTTTACGTACTTTATTACTTTATTTATATTCACTATTAGTAAGAACCAAATTCTAAAAGCAACTACTCAATCTCTCAGAACTCAAAGAGTTTCTTAACTATGATCTGAACCAACTGTCAAGTACCTATTGCCAAAATGACCAGGCCAGAATAATAATAAATAAAATATTTGAATGTATAACCGCACCTTCTCCAGCTACGGGGGACTTTAGAATTGACGAAAACCCTACACATTTCTCAGATAAAAGGCAGCAATCCACTTTCATAAATCTGAACGTTTTAAAAAGTGTAGTGATCTCCATCCTGGATACCAAGCGTTGAGATTATAGTAATGTCTTGTATGTAGAGGAAGGCCATGGCTATTTCTGATGTAAAGGATCTTACCATGCCTGTAGCGTGATAGTGAGCGACCAGGAGGTAAGGCATTGTGAAGAGTGTGGAGTACATGACACCAGCCGTCCAGCTGCACAGCAACACAGCTGCCTTCGCCCTGATGAGGCACAGCGCCATCATACCGCAGCTGTACGTGCAGAGACCACCCACGTATACGCGTTTTGCTCTGAAATTGATGGGAAAGAATTAATTTGTTATTACCGCGTAGTTAATTAAGTTTAAGAATTCCAGAAGAGGTGATTTGGCACGAATCTACAATCTAAATTTGAAAGGATCTCCAACGATACCCCGGCCTCACGAAAACCGGCGAGAAGAAAGTACGTTGTGTTTCTCTGTATGAGGTAGGATACCAAAGGTCCAGTCCCTCCACCCTTTCATCTTTAATCCCCAAATTCCATAATCCTAACCCTAATCCCAAATAGCCGCCAAGGCATTTGTAACTCCTCGATGGAGTGTCCATGAGCGACGCCGGTACTTGCCATCAGGTGATCCTTCTAACCATCTTCCACTATATTTTCATGTGATAGGGTTTCTACAAAATAGCTGCTGAGGAATAGTTTAAATAATAATTAAATGTATCTGAGTATGACAGTACTCTGTGTAACATAAAATATTATTATACATTTTGTTGTGATTCGACGGTAATACAATTGGGTGCTTTCAATTAATTTTGGTTGTTTGTTAATGAGGGATTGGCGTCTACGCTAATTACGTAAAGAGTAACGAACTCATAGGAATTTTACCATAGTTTGATCTGTCATAATATTGACAAAATGCCGCTAATGACAAAAAAAAATTAAAATGAGTAGGTGACACTCTTTAGTTGCACTTGCTTACCTCACAGCCACATTTTTAACCAACATTTTTCTAACAAAATGTGGATATGTTCTACAAACTATCTGATGTCATTTTTGTTCAGAAATTTATACATAATACAATATAATTATGGCATTTCTCAATCATTACAAACTCAACCCACACTATAACCAAAACAACCAAACATCTTCATTTCGCATAAAAACCATAAAACCATATTGGTCAGACTCTAAAGACTGTGAGCACGAATAAATTGGTTGAGACCGCTAATTAGCGTGTGGCTAATAAACACATGAATGCTGATCGAGATTAATGAACGTACCTACATGCAGATTCGCAAACTAGCTCCGTAATTAATACGTCTCGTTTCGGCTTCGGCTATTTGGATGTGACGTTATTGTGTGGCTATTTCCGGATTTATTAATAAGATGTTGACTCTATAGGCGACACTATTTTTTTTCACGCATGGAGAAGGTTTGAGCATTAATCACAACGCTTCCTCAAGGCGAATTGGTGATTTTGCTTACGAAGTCAGAACCAGACTCGAGAGTACGGCGCGTAGCGTTCCGCGCGTGCCTCAAAGAGCCAATAAACCACCACAGACGGGGCCCTATAGCTGATGTTCAGCTGAGGTTGCTAGACAAGCGCAAAAAGGCACTGCGGCCTCAGTCTAGACCAGGACAAGGAACGGGATATGGTTTTTAGGCAGTAAGTCTGAAACTTCCCCGGCCCCACCCTGGAAAAGATATTTCCTATAATACATTTTTCTCCTTATAAAACAGTTTCTCGGTGAATAATTCCTAGATATAACACCCGCACGATCCCAACTAGAACGTTCTCGATTTCTTCACACCATTTGTCGATAAATTGAATATTATCAAAAGTAAGGCTTGGCATACATGTTTGTTAGAATATTGTAAATGCAAATACTTTTTATGTGGTGTTTTTGATTGACAATTCATTATTTTACTTACGCGATACGATTAATAAACGTATTGAGAAAATATTACGAAGGTAGTATTCGCGTAATATGTACCTAATCATCATTTCGTACATGTTGCCTTAAAACCTTACAAACAATAATGAACTGTAAGATTTTTCAAAGCATAAGAATATTCATATTATTTATTTAAAATTCTGTGTCCTCTTATCTCTCCAACTAATCCAAACCTTACAAATCACAAAGTGACCATGTAAACCAACCCGGATGGATTCCAGACAAGCTAAGCTTGTAACGTTATTGATTTTTAAATCTGAGCGAAGCCGGCAAAGTGTCAGCCAGGAAGAATAGTGCAAAGTCAAGGATTCCTTGATCTCATTACAGTGAGATAGTGTTTACTTATGAGCTGTCAAGTTGAAGGGCAGACGCCATAGATAACTACGTGATTGTATGAACGATCGCTTGATACGAGACCTGATGTAACATTTGGAACAATGTGTTAATTGATTCATTGGTTTTTTGTGTTTTAATTGCGTAATAGGATATGTTTTTTACGTGTCACCACTGGTTCGATTTAGCACGGAATAACTCTTTGTGCAAACTACATATTGTTGTTCTGGGTCTGGGTGTGATATCTATGTAAATTATTAAAGTATTTTAGTAATAAGTATTTAAGTAGGTATATGTGCTATAGTATCCACGACACGGAAATAATCATAGTGTGAGCAAAGGTTTTTTAAGTCATGATTGACAAATTTTAATAAGCGTACACGGTTTTTATCTTTGGCTGCTTCGAGAGTCCTGTGAGGGGCCACTAGAATATCAGTGTGCGGTTCTGTCTCTGGCCTTCCTAATTAAAAGTATGTGAAAATTTGAGATCTGAATTAACAATACAGGTACACGATCGAGTTATATGATTTCTAAGCTTATTAAGACACTACTGATAAACGTTGAAAGAAAACATCTGTGTATATATTTTAAATATCTTTTTATAAAGATTGTAAGCCTGGATCTACCTTAAACAAAAATGAGAAGAGTCCTTTCTTTGCAGTGGGGGACTGATAGGCTTATGAAGATGGAGTAATGTCAGAAAAAAGTTATGGTTAATACTGACCCAAGTCGTTTGATGAGTCGCTCGATGATAGTAGAGTAGCAAGCGCAGGAGAGTGAGTACATCGCCATGCCCCAGCATCCGAAACGTACTCCTGCTTCATACTCCGAACGAGAAATACTGCCCACTGGCGCCTGGAAATTTAATCATAGCAATATTGTAAAAAATGCTCTGTTTTGTTAAATTAGTTTTTCCTTGCTAACGTAAATTGAATAGGCGAATTAAGTTTTGAAGTTGTTTTACGGAATAAAGCGACAAACGAACAGGTGGATGACCTAATAATGAGTACTAAGTCGCTTGCCAGCTTTTGGGAGACTATGAGGATTCGAAAGTTAGTTTTTAATTACTAAGATACAAACGAATTCGTGAGTGACATCACCGGGTAGGGGTTACATTGTTTATTTTGAAGAATTAAACATGTTAAGTTTTAATAAAGTAGTTTAGCATTTTCAGTCAAAAAAAAAATACGCTGAAACTAAATCAAGCTATATAGGTACATAGGTACTTAATCCTTGGAATATCTGCCGACCTGAACCTAAAAATATAAAGGTATGATGGCAGATTTGTAGTTATTTAGGTAATGCATTATAGTATCCTAGCATTGTCACCGTTGTGAACTAATTCCGCTGTCCATTAGACAAGTGAATATCGGCGTCATTGCCGCAAATGTTTGTGTAGGCGCTTTGCATTTTGGAATATAATTTTAATCAAACAAATTGACACTACAATTTATTAAATTGTGCGAATCTTGTTTAATTGTGAAAATGTATATAAAATAGATTATTTTCTTCTTTTACTTCTCATAAAAGATATAATCACTACATATAAGTACAAAGTCACTTTCTCTGTTCTCATATCCATATGTATGCCTGTGATATTATCATGTTATTTATGTTATTTAATAATACGTTTTATTAATACCAAAATCTTTAAAACTATACAACGGATTTTGATGCCGTTTTTAATAAATAGAGTTATTTATGAGAAATGTTTAAATGTATTAGGTCCAACACCCACTAAATTACTACTTAGTGGAGTTTTTTTTTGTTACTCGGCGGGTCGCTAGTTCAATAAGACACATGGTTTAAGGAAAGGATTGTCTTTTGATACTTCATACCAAAGTTATTAATTTTATTAGACGGTACTTGATTTGAAGAAAATAGGTAAGTGGGATTACCCGCCTCTTTTCACACATTCTAGTTAAGTAATTAATCATCATTTTACTGAGTAAGTAGTAGCTCAAACGGTAGTCGCCCACTTGGGTAACTAATTGGACTAAAAATATATTTTCCAACGTTAAAAAAAAACAACAACGTTATAAAAATACGAAATATTTGGGAATGAGTGTTTTTTTCATAAATCTGTACCCTATATCACGATCTGGGATCAAAGGAGTCTTTGCTACTCCGTGAAAAATTGTTTTCTATTACTTAATGTTTTTTTCAAGTCAATTGTCTTCAACCTTATCATTGGAAATACAAAACACCATACCAAAAAACTTTTTATTCATAATACTCATTCGTATACACGAGAAAATAATTGTATTTTTGCGAAAAATATTACTTCGAGAATACTACTACTACGAGTAAATAATGAGGTATTTTTTTGTCACTTACCGCAGGATTCCCTCCGAAGACAGCCTCGCCGACGAAGTCAGTAAAGTAAAGTGAGTAGCAGACATGTGCCATCCAGCAGAACAGGTTTGTGAGACAAACCACGCGCAAAGAACTGGGCATCAGCACGATGGACTTCAAGTAGTGGGCTAGTGACAGGTTTCCACTTGGATGACCTGTTTCCACCACGTTTATTGCTGCTCCACTCTGGAATACCACATTTTTGGGTGTCAATAAAAGTTGGCAGATAAAATTTTATCAACGTTGTATACGGTAATAGAAAGGTGTAGTGTAAGCAGAGCAGCTGTTCTGGTCTCATGCCCTGCTTGGGCTGAACACCTCCGTGTCCTCAAGGGGTTTTTAGTCAGTAAGAGTCTGACACCCCCTCCCTACCCACCCTGGACGGGAGAAGTCATTGGATGATTTTCCCATCACAAAAAAAGGTGTTTTGGTCTCAAGGTAACTTATTATAACCATTACCCAAAGACGGTGATAGAGTTTCTAGCTGGTTCTTCTCCATTTTAATTTACATTTCGTAAGGCTATTCCCATTCTTACCTATTCTATTTTATCGTTTCTAAAGTACCTATATATATATATAAATAAAAAAATTGAATAATAGAAAATTTCATTAAATGAGCTTATATATCAAATTCACAAACATTAATAATAAACCCTTGCTAATTAATTAGGACAGGGCACCGTTACCCTTACGTAATAAACGTATTTATTAAAACAATACTAGTCAAGCTTGTACTTCGACCAATCAACAAAGAAAGGAGTCATGACGACGGCATTATAATATACACCCTTCCATCGCAACTTGACCTTGCATTGCCTAGTCTTTGGATTCATCGAAAGGTCAGTATATACTGGGAATGTATAGTTTGATTTGCTGTCTTTACATAAGACCTTTAATTAATTGGAAGTTTGGAAATAACAATAGCAGACGATGTCTAAGTGGATGAGTCAGATAACTATTTGAATAGGCAGGTATGGGCTTTCCAATGATTACTTACAAGTATTGATTTGTGACTCACTCATTGATAACGAAATATTGGGTTAGTAATTTAGGTGTCTTACTTTTGTTTAAGGGGTGATGAATTGCCGCGCTCAAATAGATAAGACACTTAATTCACCAAACCTCAAGCGAACGCCGTTCACGCACCTATTGTTCTTCTATTGAAGTTTTAGAAGGCTCCATCTATGATGGTCTGATGTTTAAGAGTTGCTTTACACAAATGAAGCGGTCTAACTTTATTTCCTGGAATAGATAGCAATCGGCCTCGCCCATGGACACCCGCAACACCAAAGGAGTTACGAGCGCATTGCCGGTGTTTTAGGGGATAAGGGTTTCGGATATTTAAGTAAATCGAAGTCGAAGATTGTAAAGCGATGGGAAGAGGGCAAGGTACTGGGCCTCCAGTAACCTCACTCACACAACGATACATAACGACGATGTGCTAACTCAAAATTCGTTCATAATAACAATAATATCATCATACCTCAGGCTGATTCAGAGCTCCATAAGTTACATTATCCTTCTTCAGATTCTTGTCTGGTCCATCAGGGCCCTCATCGAAGCTCTCTTGAGCTCGTTCTGTCTCCGCTTGTTTTCTGAACTCCTCCTGGTCAGTCAGTTCCGAAAGAGGAATCTCTTTGAAGCTGGTGATGGTAGCAGTGACGCAGGCAATGAAGATTATGGTGATTAGCGAGAACACTGCTCGGACATGGCCACCAAATAGTTCACCTGGGAATTTGACGGATTGGCGGTTAATTTTACATTAGGGTACTTAATTTATTGCAACAATCTGCACAGTTACTACAATAAAATGGACTCGGAAAAGATACAGAAACCATTATCTACATATATGGGTACTGAAACGACCAATGGTTACAAAAATCATATAATTTAATGTAATAATAACAGGTACTGTACTGAATCAATGTTTATTTTCGTAACTGCATAACAAATAACTGTGCAAGCTGTAAATCTAGTGTAAGTATAAAGTTTAAAAAGTAATATTAAAGAAAGATTTTTTTAAATACAGTAGAAAAGACAAGATTGCTTAGAGTACCTAGGAAGGTAGTTTCTTTACATTGGAACTACATTTTGGTGAAAATGAAACCTGATTGTTGCAGAAAGCGTTTTAAAATCAAAGAAAATCTAAACACTAGAATTCTATGTTATTCAAACTATTCAGGCGCCACTTAAAACATTATTCCTAACAATAGATAGGTAGGTACTCAATAATCAGTTGCATAAAATATTGTAATGAAACTGTAATTGTTTTACATCGTCCAAATATGTACTGAAACGTAATCGTCCTACTAAGGATTTACTGTCGTACAGATATATGTATTTCAAGATTTTTTTTTAATAAAAAGAGTGACCATTAAGTTTTTTTTTCTCGTTACTCTCTATTAGGGATCTACACTTTGGAACGAGCTACACTTACGACCAGGCTGACAGCTTATTTTTTTTATTTTGCTTCTATTAATAATATTTATTTATTTTGACTTTGACTATGTCAGTAACGATTTTGATAAAAAAATAATTGCTAAGAACTGAGTTAAGTAGCCGGTAAATGATTCTGAGTACGAAGATAAGTGTTGTTCAATCTGGTCTACTTATTATAACGTAGAACTGAATATAAATTTCAGTAAAAACCAGGGGTATTTTAAAGAAATAACCAATTTTCGGTTTTGGACGTCTTGAGTTTTTTTATTCGAATTCCTTTCTCAAAGCTACGCCAGCAAGCCATAAAATAAAATAATTAAAATCAAACCACTGTTTTCTATCACCAAACCACAGCACCCCGGGTTCAATCCAATTATACACTGTACTAGACAAATTTAATGATATCGTATTAGCCAGCATAACGTAATAGTCGCCGGAAAATTTCCCGTGCGGTCACCAAATCGTATTTACCTAATCGGGTGTCGTCCCAGTTTATGCCGCCGAGAGCGTACCCCATGAAGCCGCCTAATCCAGCCATCACCGTGAATGTGCTGAGACCTTTAGCATGGTCCTCTGGAAGAAAGTGTTTCACATTATACGATTATCACATACAACATACACATCATCACTCATCATATAATCTGCCTATAAGTGCCCACTGATGAGAAAAGGCCTCTTCTCACAGGAAAAGGTTTGATTAATCACCACGTCATACATACATAAGAAGGTAAACATCGTAAGGAAACCCGGACTTATAATTTCTAAATATAAGTTTCACATCGCCATTTAGCGAGCCTGGTGATTAATGCTCAAACCTTCTCCGTGTGAGAAGAGGCATTTGCTCAACAGTGGGCACATAAATGATGATGATGATTAATCACCACGTTTGCTCAAGATCGTTTACAGTTTTTTAACTGATAAGTCCAGTTTTCCTTCACCGCGTGTCAGTGGTGTCTAAATAATCATAGAAAATACATATACCACGGAAAAAGTTACATAGGTACTTGCCAGGTTTCGGAACCGCAGCCTCATGCATTGCATGCGAACCGAATACCTCGCCTCAACATACAGTCTTGCTTTATAACTTTTTTGTATAGAAGTGCAGTAATGGTTCTTTCGAAGCTTGACTCTCCCACTTCTAGCGATTGTGAATTTCCAATATCATTCTCTTTTTTTTCTGTATAAAGAAACCGAGAGTAGATCCATATCGAGATGATAATTTCGATAAGATTGTATAGACCAAGGTTGGCGGGAAGCAAGACTAACTTTAAGTACATTTTCCTTATTATATATATACACTTCGAACTTGTACTTCCACAAAATAAAAAGAAAAAAATGTTTAAAAATAACTTGGGGCTTAGGTACCTTAGCGAAAATATTTTTTACTTCTATCTACTAATTTGCCAAAAGAACCCTATTCCCAGAACAAAGTAATTATAATGGACTTTCCTAAAGGCTGGGAATGCACTTTTGTTACATGTGTCCATTGGCGGCGCCGATTGCTTGCCATCAGGTGAATGGCTTCCTCGTTTGCGACCCTAACTTAACCCTTCAACCGTGGTAACTCGAGACGTAATAGAAGAAAAGTAGGTGAACGCCAGCCAACGTTCGATTAAGGATTCATAAATTTTAAAAAAAATGAAATGGTATAATAAATCACAATGTTCCCAAAGCCCTTGTAAATACATATTACTATATCACATTACTAAGTACATATATATATACCTAAGTATGTATGTGACAAGCAACGATTTTCCAGTCACATCTCACGACAAACATTTGTTCTCTAAATATTGTCTTTCAGATGAAAACGTACATAAAAGACAGCCAAACAGACTACATACATAGGTACACACTTATGTACATAAAACTACACATGTATTAAATTATAATTATAAACATAATACCATAAAATTTGCAGCTTTAGGTACCGAAATATGACGAATTTACTGAGAAATTTAAGATTTTAAGTCAATGTAGATTCTTGTATAAAATGGTGTTTAGAAATCATCATCATCATCATCATCATCAACAGCCCTTTTCAGTCCACTGCTGGACATAGGCCTCTCCTATTGCACGCCACTGGGATCGATCTTCATATATCATAATATAGAAATCATAATTCATTCTTATTCGGGTTGGACGATTGCCTGTATTTACTCTTGTGTGAACCACGTGCTTTTATAGTTAAATGTTTATATACAATGTTAACCGGGTCACCAAAAGTACTTTTGATAAGTTTTAGCTCATGTAGGTAAATACTTAATATAGTTTTATTTATCACCTATATGGCTTTTCGTAGTAATTCTATACACTAAACTACCATATTAGATATTTAATTTATTAGTTAAAAGTAATTGTTAGCAAAACATTTCTTGCTTAAGACTAAAGTTAAAGAAAGACTTGCTAAAGACTCTGAGTAATGGGGAATGATCTACATCACATTCAAAATCTAGGCAGGTCTATCTTCCAATCAAAATTAATTTTGGGTAAGACTTTTCAGAAGACTAAACACTGTTACTACTTTAGATGACATATAACTTTAGTCATATACATTTTAATTATTACTTAGTAAAGTTTTTGTCCCGAAAACAAACATTATTTCAGGACTTAGAAGGTGAATAAAAAAGTTACCATCTTCATTGAACGTCTGTTCTTCTTAGCATAAGAGGACGGACGTCTGTTTATATTGCCGTCACATAAACAAATTGATTCATACTTTGACGTAAGATCTAGACTAATAACATAATAATAAGTAAATCTAAAAATAATTAAAGCATTTTGCAAAAACTTTGATTTAAGGGCACATTTCCCTTGCATACCAATAAAATGAACTGCAGCAAAGATAGAACAGATTAACATATTTGAATCCATTGAAAATAAAAAAGGGATAACTCACAAGAGCAAAAACATCGATAAATGATAAAACCGTTTAAAACTATATATAAACGAAATCTTTAAGAATCGAGACAGAAAAAGATGTCCTACAAGTATTAACTAAAATAAAAGTACTTATTTGTGAAATATTACTAAGAGATGTTAAAATAATCATGTCGCCAAGTGTATATCTTTGTAAAAACCCCAAATATAAACGTTGGCTGCGAGATAAATCAATCACGAACAGACGTTGGCTGATAAAGAGTAAAGTGTCTATTTTGTAGTTCATCATTCTCTGCCGACGAAAATCTGTCAGACGCATATCACAGTATCAAAGTCACATGTTCTGACGTACGCAGTCCGAACAAATATTAAAATTAAACATTTTTCCTACAAACTAGGTTAAGGATTTTACTTTTAATTCTAATCAGAGAACTCATTACCGTCGTTGCAATAACAACAATTTCGTGGAAGACAAGAAACTTCGATGTTGTATAAACCACTTGAGAAAATTGATAAGTAGCAAAATTTTTACTCGAATTTTCTAAACAACAATTATTCATAATTGTATATTTTTCGTCTTTGCATGACAGTTCGATTAATACGACATATTGGATTAAATTAATCACAGTTTAATAAGGATAATGATAGGATAAAGAAAATTGAAAATCCATTTAGTCCGTCAGTAAGATGACCTAGTGAAAATGAAAAATATCAGACACATATACTTTATTTTGTCGTAAAAAAAACAATCTCGGCTGTCGAATGTCGTCTGTTAAAATAAATCTATCTAAAATAAATCTTGACGTCACATAACATTTAAAGTTTAAAAGTTAAAAGAAAAAATACGTGCTAATCTAAAATAAGGACATTAAGACAAAAGACAGTCAACATCCCTTTATGCAGAAAAATAAATAAACTGAATTCGCTTTGAACAGATACTTAATTGAGCAAACTAACCTTAAATGATTTCTTTAGAAGAATCCACCACGCATTGGTTTCAATTTGAACTTTATGGAGGTATATTAGCAGTTAGTTTAAATAATTGTGACAAATATAATTCTCACGAGTATAAATAAAACATTAATCACCATATTAATAAAGCACAAATATAATAATAATTAAGATTCAAAGAATGACTGATTCACATTGACGTAGTATTCTGACTAAGTAATTATGAATCTATCAATAACTGAAGTGTCTTACCTAACTGCTTGGAAACATATCGTTAGTTATCATGATATATAGTCTGCTCTATTTTAAGTAACATTCAATCAGATAGCTATTGTTGCGTGTAAATTAGAAATATTATTTTCTATTGAGTACCACTTGACAAAGTCACTGCGTCAAAGTGTTGTTCACCTTTACCTAAATGTTGGAATCTTGAAGCAAATTTAATATTGTGACTATACAAAACGAACTTTTTGAACTCAATTGAGGTCAGAGAGTAAATTCAGATGTGAAGATTTTTAAGTGTGGGAGTGCCATGCTTCGGCACCATTGGGCCGGTATGGCCGAAGTGATATAGTGATATGCCACAGCCTTATAGAAAAGTGAATCAATCACTGCGTTGTGTTTCGACGTGAAAGTATGGTTATCAAAGGTTCAATCCTTCCCCTCACCCCTTATCCCCAAAAATCCGGTAAAGAACTTGCAACTTATCTGGTGTTACGACTGTCCATAGGCAGAGCCGATTGCTTACGATATAAAGTTTAACATCAGATTATTTCTGAAATCCCTTCTCTGTTTTTAACTACACATACATAAGTCATTTATTTGTGTGTCTTCAAAAATGTAATCATAACAAGGTTATGTGGTCATAGGAGGAATTGGGACAAAACTACTACAAAATGAAACTTTCTTCAAATATAACTGACCTGGAACCGTCACATCAAGAAGATAGGCTCGGGCTGGGCTCTGGCAGGCGTCCGCGTCAAAGTCCAGGAACACGGTACAAAGGACTGTAAAGAACACGCCCCAAGGATGATAATTGCTATGTTCTTGGTCCAAAGCAGAACTCCGTGGGCCCAAAACAGATGGCGCTTCTGTCCTGTTTAGGGGCAACTCATCGCCGAGAGCATAGCCTATGTCTTCGCCGTTAGGCACTAGAATTAAACCTGTAAATAAAATTCAATATTAGTTGAGTAAAAAATATTAAATCGACTTCTTTATTATTAGAAGAAATCTGTAACTGATTTGCCTAGTAAGATTGTGTTATTAAAGAGAAAAACATTTCAAATCGCCTGTCAGTTTCAACAAGTTGTCTCAGAAAATTGCTGTGAAATCCATAAAGTTCGTCACAAAACGCTCCTTGCTTACGATCTCGGTTCGGACGCCTGTTGCTTCAGCCTCAAGCTTTCCACTCACACGTAAACGAACCTTTATTATCCCACTTGAATTTCCAAAACAGTAATTAGGAATATTTCGTTATCTCTTCAAGTAATAATTGTTTGCTTAGGATTTTGGGTCCCCAACACGAATGCCTCCATTACAAATTTAATTTAATCCTTTAGATCTTTGGACAAATTCGTACCGAACTCTTTATCAAACAGGTGGTAAAAGGTTTGCGTGTCGACGACTCATTAAATTTTATATCTACATCAAGGATCGGAAGGCAAACGGTGTAAATACCACTAAATATCGTTTGTATTTGTGTGGAATGTTGGAAACAAACTCTGATTACTTTATTTATAGACTCGAAAGTATTTACCTACTAGTTGATAATATTTGACGCTTATTAAACAAGGTTCAGTTTTTGAATAAAACATTGCGCTTTCAATACCCTAAGTGCCTTAATCAGAGTTTAATGATTGCTTTAACTGCTTTAACTATTCCTTTATGACGGTTTTTTTTGCTAAATCTTACAATATTATAAATGCGAAAGTTACGATGTTTGGATGTTTGTTACTCAATCATGCCAAAACGGCAGGACTGATTTGGATGAAATTTGGCACAGGCGTGGGATACAATTCGGAATAGGACATAGGCTACTTTTTATAATCATACAACGCGGGCGAAGCCGCGGGCTGAAGCTAGTACTAAAATGCTAGTACTAGCTTCAGCCCGCGCTAGCTAGTAATAAAAAACTTTGACTACGGGCCGAGGAAACACTTTCCTCTGGTCCACACCTTCCCATGTTGAAAAAGGTAAGAAAAATATTTACTTTTTCCTTACCTAAAAATACTCCAATGGACATGAGCACAATAAAAGGTCTTCTTCTCCCGAACTTGGAACGACAGCGGTCACTAAGTGACCCCAATAGCGGGGTCATGAAGAATCCAATCAGGGGTGACAGTGCCCAAACAAGGGTCATCTGTTGGTGGGGCACCCCTATCTGCAGCAGAGTGGGGGAGACGAAGGCAGTCTCCCCGGCGTAAGAAAACTCTATGCCCATAACAGCCGCTGATATTCTCATCAATTCGATACGACTCTTCCTCCTAAAAACAAGGATACAATTAGAATTATTTACTTAAAACTCAAAGTTACTACCGGTATAAGTTTTTGAAGCTAAAAAAAATCTACAGGTAGCTGTTTTTCACTCTCCGAAACCCTAATCCCAAGGCCGGCAAGGCGGCATCGCGTCGACTGCTTACCATCAGTTAATCCGTCTGCTCGTTTGCCGACATATCACATAAAAAAGATAAATATAAGAATGAGCTTAAAGAAAATCAAATGCTTGAGATTGAAAACAGCCTAACAATAAAATATGATTGATATTAGATATCTATATTATTACAATGTATTGTATATCATCTACATTGATAAATTTGAAAACGGCACATTTTTGTGAGACAAATAATAGGACATGATAATAGGCTAATTGAATTAAATATTTTATTTTGTATAATAGAAAATTATTTTAAATACTAAACGCAATTTTTATGTACGTTTATAAAAACAAAATACAATGATTCTTTTGCCAAAACAAATGAAAGCGGCAACAAAAAAAAAATTAAAAATAAAAAAAAATTACCTCTTAGATTGGTTTAAATTACAAAAATGAATGATACAGCTGCGCCGTGGACAGGGATAATACCTCATTAAGAATTTTCTACACAAAAATGTTATAATAAAATTGAAACCTAAAATACTATAACACCTACTTCTGATTTCTGAAACCTATAATACTTCTAATGGCTTATCGAAAATTAAAATAAAATGGATGAGGTGTTAAACTTTTTACTTTTTAATGTTTACTTATACTTTTTAATTTTTTTAAATATTAACTTACCTATACAGATCGCTGTAGGCACTATCCTGCCATACCCTTTCAGGGGGCTCGTCAGAATTGGGGATTCCAAAGAGGGTCTCGGCCACCGCATCCTTGACTCCTCGAGGATGTTGTTCCCTCCACCTCGACCATTTCTCCTTGTAGCGGTCACGAGCACCATGGAGGCGACCGGTCACACCTTGGTATTCATGTAATTTTTCAGCCATGGTGTAAATAGTCGGCGGTCATAGGATTTTAGACCTTATGATAAACTGATCGAGGATGTAAGGATATCGTGAATTTTATTTTACATTCACATTTTTTTTTAATTTATATCTACGTTTTAAAGGAATTTAGTGGTAAAGTACTTTGTTTCTGTTTTTCACTGAGAGTTTACTTGATAAAGCTTAAGAAACTCGATTAAGTACAGTCAATAAAATAGTTCTAAGCGCACACATTTCAAACACTATACCTATGTAACAAAACAAAAATCACTAATTAACGACTAAACAATAAAAAAAGAAACCAATTCAAAGTCACTCCCTATAGTCCAATTAACACTGAAGTTAGTGGAAGTTAGTGAATAAATAACAAGTTTGAGTGTTGACGGGTAAAGTTAGGAAGGGTAGCGGGTAGTCTCCGGTTGGGCAGTTGCCGCGGCGACGGACGCAGGAAGCGAACTGGGCGCGCGCGCCGCCCTCCCTCGGCACGCCGCCCGCCCAACTCGACTGACCGATGTCGATACTTTTATGCTGGAAGAGATATTTATTTATTGTTAATCATTTCTTTAGCCTCTTTTGTTTACCATAGAGATTTATTTTTAAAAGAGTAATGTTGGAAGTTCTTCTACGTTTGAATCTCTATTTTGTAACGAGCGTCTAGCTTCACTGACGGACAATTAATTTTTTATGTCACTTTTCATGGCTACCTACGTTACCTACCTAGGTCGAGTTTAAACCAATGTTTTTAGGCAGTATTACAACTGAACAAGTTTTATAGAAAAAGTAACTAAGGAATAAAAGAGGGTATTTCAAAATTGATCCTTGTTATTGACACATAAGATTTAAGATTCGAATACCTTAATTTTTTTTGGGCCTCTTCCCTATTAATCAGGCCATCGACAATTGCAACATCAGAGGACTTGAAAGAGCATTGCCGGCCATTTGAGCATAAGGGGTTTTAAGGTTTTTGGGGTCAGGGAAAAAATTGGCCGCCTGGAACCTCACTGATACGCCGCTGCGGTACATAGGTTTTTTCAGTTTTAAGTTGTAAGGCTTCTAAAGATACTGGTGAACTTGTGAAGTTTATCCGTGTTTTATGCACTTGGAAAGAAAGACATGCCTATATGGCAAGTATTAACATGCTTTTATATGGTAGCCCTCTAATGAACTATTTAATAAAATCTAAATTATATTCACTTCTCGTAGTTGTATAATCATGAAACTTGAAAATTATCTGTAGATTAGATGAAAATACAATATCATGGTACCATCGAGCTTGTTTAGTGACCTAAGGTCGGTAGGTACTGATGTTGGCCTACGTACTGATTAGTAATTTCAATTTGTCCTGATGACCGAAACTAAAAAATAAATGCTGTAAGTTTATTGAAGTAAATCTTAACAATTATTTTTAGAAGATGTTTTTCCAACTTTCTTTTTATGGTCAAGCCTTATTCACGGATTCAGTGCAGATGCAGATTAACAAATTTTTCATGAAAGTTAGTGCCCGAAAAATACTTCTATGCTATAAAAAGTCCACTTACCAAAATAGAATCCCATAAAACAGTCCCTAAATCAAATAAAAATAACATAAAAGAAGCCAAAGATCAATATACTGAACGTATTAAGATAATATCGAGAGAGAATTGAAGAAAAAGATAAATTAAAAGGGAAGTGCTTTCATTGGGTCGGGTAGCGAATAATATATTTTAAAAAAGTCACTTCTAACATTATATTTCTCGGTGTCCCGCCTCGGGGATTACGGTTATTGCGTCCCGGGGAGTCACGAGTGATTGTATTTTCCTATACTGTCTTATATAAACAAACTGATTGTCTGTTCGTCTTATTGCTTTCACGTCTTTTTCTATCTTTAGACTGACGATGAAATTGAAAGTAACGCCCCCGGATTTAGACAGCGCAACCGTTTATTACGTGCAAATCCTGTTGATTTTATTGTATCGGTTTCTGCTTTCAATTTATTTTTGGTTTGTTTTTTCAATAAGGATTTTGGTATAAATGTCTTTTTAGCAAGTCATGTTGATAGCAAGATGTTGAGATTTGCGATTTTTATTTTCGGTTTGTAAAATACTTACATAATCTTAGTTTTGAATTGTAATTACTTTCACGTAGGAAGCTAAAATACAGTAGGTGCTACAATAACTTTCAACAACGCCCTCTGAAAAAAAATTAAGTATTTTTTTTCTACTAGGCAAGTAAATGTATACGTATCCTTGGGGAGATAAATAAATCGAAATATAACTAAGAAATTGTTAGTGAATAATCACTATTTACTGTAATGTTGTCAGTGGTTAGTAAAAAAATGAAGTAAGCCAAGGTAGGAAACTTGCTACATATCCACACTATACCTACATTTCAAGTTCACAGACAGATCTTATCTTTACAATACCGATCGAATGATGTTGAAGTAATCTAGTGAAACATGTCGCAACGAAATCCCGATAATAGCTAAATACCACCATTATCAACCATTCAGATGACTAGCCGACAATTTACACCATAACAAGATAACAAAAAGTTCAACAATAATATTTACCAACATGTGTACAACTGGCTTCGTAAATACGATTCAACTTGCACTTGAAAATAAATAAATGCGTGCCTATTTGCCTTGTGAAGTAATTTACAAGGTGCAATAAATAATGAGACATTAATATGTGGACTAGTTGTGTGTAGAAGTTATTTATACAGCATTGTTGAAAGTATTATAATGAACAAGGTTGGTCCCCGCACGATGCGCCGGCGCCGCAACCCGTGACTCCGACAAAGCAACACCTATCTTCGCTCTCATTTAAATATACTTTTGTCTCACAAACCGTGAAAATTAAAGGAAGAAATGACAGGAAGGACGTTTTACAACGATTAATGTAACATTACATTTACAGACGATCATTGTTACAGTATTCGTCTACGTAATAAGTTTGCTATCGAATTACTAACGCAATCGTGTGAAGATCTTCTAGAAAAATTTACGAAAATACCAAAGCTAGACTAGACTTGTTGATAATAGTATTCAAAAGCAGAGCAGATATACAGCAGTCTGGTTATGTAATCCTCTTTGTTAGATGCACCTAAACGAATTCCGTAAAATTGCATTAGGTACATCCGGGTAGCGTTTCAAAACTTATTGTCTGTCAACTTTGACCTTGGATAACTATTTATCTCTGTAAAAGACAATAATTAACTGTCTTTTCAAATATATTTTTAGTTCGCTATCAGTTGTTTGCTTAAAATTTTTCATAGTAACTTCCATAGAAACCCCATATGCTAAATTAATATTCAATGTCACATTCTAACCTTGATTCGTTCAAAGGCGGTTTCCACAAACGTAGCTGCCTTATCAATCATGAGGTGACAGGTGACAAGTCTCTTAAAACAAGATAACACTACGAACCAGCAGTTGCTGTTAGCTCACCAAAGAAAGTTTACCACAACTACTAACGTATTTTCCATAATACTTACAAATTTTACCATTGTTTAAACTGAACCGTCATCGAGTAATGTACCTACTTCCGAGAAATTGTTACAATTCATCCAATTTGTCATTTGTTTTTCGCGTTTTCTCCTTTAGTGTTTTATTGTAAATGTTGTTTTATTCGTAAATACATTTTACGTAGTAATTCTTATTCATTGATTAAATACAGACTTATGTAGACTTAACTATTTATTTCTTTGAATGTTTAGGTGCCGGTTTTCGTGCACAATACCTCCTACTATCATCTACATTAGCAACAGATAGACAGCTTCGTCAATTCCCGAATGCTCCTCTTTTTCTTTTTAAAGTGAGAAGGAGTGTCATACTTTTTCTGACTCAGAACCATCCTGTTCCAGGTCGGAACTACGGCACATTATTTAGTAACTCCAACTATATCTTACGCAACCTATGGCAACAACTTGTCAAAAAGAGACAACATCTTTAAACATATACCTATAACTTCAAAAATTAAGTTTTTTTTTAAAGTGAGAACGTTGCCCCACATTGGGATTTTCTCCTGTGTCGTGCGTGCGGTTACAAACATACCTACACATGAGACCCAAACCAGGAACAGATTCAAAGAATATGATATCAATTTCTCTACCTACATAATTAACTTCCCAAAAAACAATAACAGTACAATTTTGTCGAATAAATACTACCTATCTACTACTTAAACGTAGAATAGAGAGAGAGAGAGGCGCCAAAGAACAATGCCGACAAATATTTGCTCGTTCAATTTACCACCTTATCATTTCCTGCGCTCTGCTCAAATAACCACGATCAATCACATGTTCCCTACAGATAAACTTTAATGTATTCATGTTTGTACAAATCTTACACAATCTTATCATATTACCGTAGAAATAAGTAAAAACCTTATGATTCAGAGATGATCCTAAGCCTATAATATCGCTATATCGGATGTTTCAAGATTCTTGTTTATTAAGATAAGTGGTTTGTCTGTTGCTTAGCTGTGTCCTTTTGGAATTGCTGACCTTTAAATGACCTTAATTTTGTTTCATAGAAATCTATTGTTATTAGTTCAGTAAGTTTATCATCGACGTTAGCTTATCCAGGTTTTGCTGGTCAATTGGACATACCCGTTCTATGGTCAACCTCATCTCGCAATTTCATTTCATTTTTGAGTTTGTTGAAATACACAGAGTTTTCACTTCATTAGAATCCCAAATGTTTAATTTGGCTTTTATAAATAGATACGTCAAGTAGAAAAGTATTTTCAGTAAATTAAAATTTTAATTAGATAGTTTAACGATATTACAAGAGTAGTAAGTATTTGTAAATAACGAAAACCTTTTTTTCAGGTCCGATATACTTGGGAATCGTGCTACCCCTATAAGGGGCCCAGTGTGTTCTTCTCAAAAAGCCAGGTGTATTCTGCAGATTATCTCCGACATCAACAAAAATAGGATAGCATGGGATCCACGGGCGCTTTTATTGTTGATGGCTGCCACCACGGAGGTTTTAATTCAAAGAAACCTCCTTGTTTCCTTCTTTAAAAATAGGCCTTATTGCCTTTTGAAGGTCATAAGTCGATTTCATTTCCAACAAAACTAAAAGAGTCTATATTCTAGCCCATACTATCACCTTTGACATTATCGATAAAGTTAGGTAAAGTGATGGCGTCGTAATAGGATTGGTTTGTATGGCTTCATCAGACGTACGATACCAGTACGTCACACGAATACACTCTGACGTGGTGGAAATTATGTCACATTAATTATTTAATAGAAATTTATCGGACATTGTGTAAGAGGATGTAGCCTTACCATATGTTCTCTATCTCTTTCACATATACCACGAGGAGTGTGCTGTAGAATTGAGGAATTGTTCGGCTTGATACCAGCTGCATCTGTTCGCCATCGTCCCACGCGAAAACATTTTCATCCCCATCACATAAAGGATGGGTTTTAAAAGATCGTGCCATTTTCGCTTCTCAAAACTTTCTGCCGCGTACAACAAAACTTTGAAATGGTCTTATGGGGGCAGTTTACGATACGACCTTCGAACCTTAAAGAAACGAGAGTACTCTTACCTAAATGGCCCGCAACGCACCTGTGGGTCCTCTGGTGTTTCAGGTGGAGATCACTTACCATCAGGTGATAAATCTTATAAACTCTTTCATTCCTATTCACAAATAAAACAAAAGTTACAAATCCACATTCAATGTTATTGCCTACCCGCGTAAAACCTTTTACATCGAACTAAGAGACAGTTCAAGACTCTTGCAGACTTAGAGTACATGTCTTAAAATTGTTAATTGTACAACTTAGCATTTGTAAATTAGTTCAATTTGCATGTAAATTATTTTAGACGAGACAATGGATCGCTCGCACTTCGCAGATGTCACTTTTCTGTTTTATTCGAGTCTCGCAAATACAAAATTCTTAACGTTTTTGTTTTGTTCTTATTTCGTGTAATAAACAGGCAATAATTATAGTATTAAATGGTATTCGCGATATTGAATTTTTGGACTAAAATATGTTTTTTACTCATGTCCTTAGATTATCTTATAGACGCCTCAAGAGATAAGCAGTACTTTTGTACTTGATTGTTTTTTACTATTTTTACCTCTATTGTATGTCATCACGCAATAATTTATTAATTTTACAATAAGTATATACTATATTCTATCTCTTATCTTATAAAAACAAGAAGAAATAAACAATTACACACATCAAGTCAACTACAGTCGTCACCAACGATAGATGTAACTAATCCGGGCCAGCCATTATCTGGTACCGAGCTTACGCAAAGTCAGACAGAAATTAAGAGAAAGAAACCTAAAAATAAAATTCACATATTAAGCACTAGTACTAAACATAAAATATTGTCTATTTCTCAAAAAACTTTCTCCGAAAAATTTGATATTTGCCATTATCTTAAGCCAAACTGCAGTACAGAACAACTTATTAATAATTTGGAAACCAAAATACAAGATTTTACGATGAACGACTTTTGTGTCATTTTAATAGGCGAAGAAGATTTCAAAAGCACTCATGATTACTTTAACCTTATACTGTATATAAGAGAAGTTTTGCAAAAACTACGTCACACTAACATAATCGTCTGTGCGCCCACTTTTAAGTATGGACATCACACAAATATGTTCAACTGGCGAGTAGCGAACTTTAATAATCTGTTGTATTTCGATGTACTAGAACATGAGCACGCTTACTTCTTAGACTCAAATAAAAATCTTAAATGTAGTTATGAGATGTTTAATATGAAAAGTGGCACGGTGAATAACGTCGGTATGAAAACTATCTTCCAAGACATCCATGAATTTGTTAATGGAATAATCAAGTACGAAATACACCCAGTAGATAGTCCATCGTCCTCAAATCAGTTGACTTATGAAAACGCTGAATCTATGTTTTTTCGAAACTAAACACCTACATGTGTTACACCAAAATATAGCTGGATTACTTAACAAAACTGATATCCTGATGATAAATATGGAAGAACTTGCAGATAAAAACAAAAATATTGATGTCCTTTGTATCACGGAACATTTTATGATGGCAGGAACTGAAACACATCTCCACATAAATAACTATGTATTAGCTAGTTGTTTCAGTAGAAGTAACAGCAAAAGAGGCGGAGCCTGCATCATGGTTCATAAAGACCACCAATGGAGAGAGATTACAGAAGTTAAAACTAATTGTATAATTAATGTATTTGAATGTTGTGCCATCGAATTAACTGATTACAAAGTAGTTATAGTCTGTGTCTATCGAGTGCCGAATTCAAATAATTTGGTTACATTTTTTGCTAAGCTTGAAAAGATTCTTTTGCTCATTACAAAATTACGATGTAATAATATTTTAATAGCTGGCGACTTTAATATTAATGTTTTAAAAAGTAATAATGTATCACTAGACTTCGAATGTTTGTTATTAAACTTCAACTTAAAGCTTGCTATAAAACAGCCTACTAGACTAACTAGCATGACTTGTATAGATAACTTTGCTCATGATTTTAAAAAACAATGTAAGACTGAAGTATTGGAATTTGGTTTATCAGATCATACAGCCCAATTAATAAAACTCCCGATAAAAAAGGTTTTAAAATTTAAATACTGGTATAAAACGGAACGAGACTATTGTAAAGATAACGTTGATAAATTTAAAATGTGCGTAAAAAATTTTTCTTTCTCGGAATTGTATACCATGAGCGACACTGATAGTGCATATTCATATTTTATAGATAATTTTAAATTATTCTATGATTTGTGCTTTCCACAAAAAATAACCAAGGTACAAGTTAACTATAAATGTAAATGGATATCGCGCGGAATCAAAATTTGTAGCAGGAAAAAAAGATTATTGTTATGGAAATTTAGACAAAAATCAACTAAAACAAATAAGAACAATTATATCAGATATTCCAAATTACTGAAAAAAATTATAACTCTAACAAAGTGTGTTCAAAATAATTACAAAATTAAAACATCGGATAACAAATCAAAAACAACATGGCAAATTATTAATAAAACACGATCAAATTTACCAAAAGAACCCATAGAAAAAATTAAAATGCAAAATAAAAGTATTACAAATCCTACCGAAATAGCTAGCACATTTAACGATTATTTTGTTGACAAAGTTAAACCTATCCCAGGTGCCGGTAAAAAAGTAACATCCCTTATTAATTCTAGACTTAATTCAATGTATTTAGCTCCCTGTACACCGATTGACGTATTTAAAATAATAAATGGCCTAAAAAACACAAAAAGTGTTGGTTATGACGAGATCTCAACGAAAATAGTTAAGGATGTAAATGGTTATATATGTCATCATTTATGCTATATAATTAATCTAACTATTACAAAAGGCATATTTCCAAAAGATCTTAAAATAGCAATTATTAATCCATTATTGAAAAAGGATAACAAAGAATTAGTCGAAAACTACAGACCAATTGCATTTCTTTCTGTCTTTTCAAAAATCCTGGAGACTTATTACAATATACAACTAAATAATTATTTAGAAAATAACGATATCTTATGCAACGAACAAAAGGGATTTCGAAAACATAAAAATATAAATATGGCTGTTTTCGAGTTTTTGAAAAATATAATGTCCGCGATTGATAAAACCACCCCTGTATGTTCAATCTTTTGCGACATGACACAAGCCTTCGATTATGTTGATCATACAATATTAGCTAGTAAACTGGAGGCATATGGCATAAGAGGAAATGTCTTAGAGTTATTTAAATCTTATCTATCTGATCGGAAACAAATAACACTAATAACAAAATTTAACTCAAAAACCAAAAAAGAAGAACAATATCAATCACAAGTAAGACATGTTAGGTACGGTGTTCCCCAAGGTAGCATACTGGGGCCCACGCTATTTATTACTTACATCAATGATCTCCCTCGTGCAACTGTGCAACCTTTAATTTTATTTGCAGACGACAGCACAATCAATATTACATGTAAAGATAAAAAGCTATTTGAATCCGAAATTAATGAGTCCTTAAATTCAGTAATAACATGGTTAGACAATAATAATTTAAAAATAAATATGAATAAAACAAATGTAATGAATTACAGCCAAAGACCTCAAAATTCAATTCAATTTAAAGTAATATATAAAAATAACGTAATAAAAGAAGTAGAAACAGCAAAATTTCTTGGTTTAAAAATCGACAATAAAATCAATTGGAAATGTCACACTGAAGACATTTCCAATTGATTTTACTTACTTACTTTATTGATTTTACAAAAATAAGTAACCTATCTTATCTGATGTATAAACTATCATCAATAGTAAAAAGAGATGCGTTGTTGACGGCATATTATGGGCTGATAGAATCGGTGCTTAGATACGGTCTAATATTCTGGGGAAACACGACAAACACTGATATGGTATTTAAAATGCAAAAGCGCTGTATCCGGGCCATGTTCAGGATTAAAACTACTGACAGCTGTCAACCACTGTTTAAGGAGTACCATATACTGACACTTCCGTCACTATACATATTAGAAATTGCTTTATTTGTAAGAAATAACCCTCACTGGTTTCCTCTTTTGGAAGATAATTTTGTAAGAAATAGACGCAAAAACAGCACTTGTCCATAAAAGTGTGTTTTGTATGGCACCTATAATATACAATAAAATTCCACATAATTTAAAAAATATTAATAACAATAATTTATTCAAAAGAGAACTGAAAAATTTCCTTATTAAACATTGTTATTATCGTATCAAGGATTTTTTAAATGATAATAGTTGATTGTTTCATATTTTTAACTTTAGTTGTCTCTTTAATAGTGTTTATTACCTAATTCTATTATTATTTTGTACGCCAACTGTGGCAAAACATGTTGAAACATTAGAGCTTTCACCTTACCATCTGCATTTGCATCTATATGTATAATGTTACCCACACATGTTTATACAAATAAATTTATCTTTATCTTTATCTTTATCTAATATTTATATTTGCCAATTTTTAAAAAACTAAGTATGCTTCATACTTGAGACATAAAAGGTGACGATATAGCACACAATCAAAAAAAGTCAAAATAAAAGTCAAAAATCATTTATTCCAATTAGACCTTTACAGGCACTTTTGAACGTCAAACAAAATTTAAAATAAAAAATAGTGTCAGTCTGTCGGTCAGTCCTCTTAGTGAAGCTATTTGCTCGTTCCAAAGTGTAGATTCCGATGGAGAAGAACGAGCAAGAAACTCCATGGTTACTCTTTTTAAATCAGTTTCACATACAGATTCCTTTTACAAACAGTTGGTTCAATTATGTGAGAACAGTGTAACACTAATATTTATTCAAATATAAAAATAAAGTAACCTTAAGGACAATAGACAGTCTGAAGCTGACCAGTCCCAACTGACGGCGCTCGTTCACGAGCATGACACGTACACCAGCATCGCCCAACTCAACCATATTATAGGGAA